TGAAGATGAGGTGAACCAAGCCGAGGGTTGTCGACTGCTACCTCTTCCTCCTTGATCTGAAGCTGGCAACTAGTCTCACTTTCTCAGCGAATGTTATTGTTTGCGGTTGACTGGCCAAGTTATACTCCTCTTCCCATTCTTTTCTTAATTTCTTCCAAATTACGACTGATGGATGGTAAATTTTTCCACTCTTGATGAGTGAATGTATTTCTTCTTTGTTTTTACGGAGAAGGGTCACCATATACTTTTATTTTAATATATAAAATATAAACAGATGAGTTAATTGGTTGGACTTAGGGCATACCTCCTTTGGTTGAATAATTGATCATTTTTCTTGAATTCCTATTGCAACCTGATTTCTTGAATGTTGAAATGAAAATCAGAGTTGTGATGGTTGTTTATTATATTTTATGTTCATGATTGACATGCTACTAGCTAGCAAATCTGTATTTTAGTAATTAGTAGGTAGCAAAGAAGTTATAACTAAAAGGGAATATAATTAGGGTTTTATAAAGGTCGCGAAGAAGAAAGAAATGATAATGGTGGTTTCTCGGTTGTCTGTTTCGGTGTTTTTTTTTAATTTCTGCAGGTTTGCAGTGACATTTGTTTGTTTCATAAAGGTGAATTTTTCCGTATTGAATCCCTTACTAAAGCTTGATTTTGACATGATTGTTTTCTTACAAACTACTATTTGGATTGATGCATATATTCAGTTCACAAATGAGGAATCTGCATGATAAAATGAGTTGAGTTGTATTAAAGACTGCTCCTTTCATTATTTGTCTATGTTGTTGTTACGTAAAAAATCACAATTCTTTTCTGCAGGAGATATGTAGCTCTCTACAAAATATAATTTGTGTTTAAGTATATGCAGTTTAATTTGCTGAAAATATTGCTTTAATAAGTTAGTGACAACTGATAGTTTTGTTTGTGGTTGGTTTTGCTAGAACATTTCAAAGTAATTAAACAAGTACGTGGAAGATTGATGGACGTGGATGCTAATGAGTTTCCGCATTATTCCAAAGTTGTATGTGTAAGTGATAATACACGATATTCATGAGATTTAGATCGGAATATTCTCTATTATCATATACATACATATGAGAAGGAAGAGGGGAAAAAAGCTCTTCGCTTATTTTTTTATTAATTGAAGCATATTTTCTTATTCTAACTTCTTCTTTTATGGTTGTAAATTTTTTTAACTTCTTTTTCACAATTGTGTGCTAAAGAATGAATAACTCTTATGTTTATAATCTTAAAGGGCGAGTTAGATAAAAAAAATTCTAAATCAATAAAGAACAGTCTACAAAGAGCTCAGTTAATAAAATTAAAATGTTCATAAATAAACAAAAGGTATAAAGGTATGAAACAATATCTGAAATAAGGTAAACGGGATTTACAATTCCATGTATATTACCTTAACAAATATATATAATAATAACAATTAGAATACTATAACGAATTATAAAATAACCAAACAAAATACACCGCCCAACGGGCGGGTAAAAAACTAGTAATTAATAGGAGATGTCATTTTTTTCAACCCATTTAAGGTAGTCATGCTATCTCATCCCAGAAGAGTGCGTTGGACTTGTTGGAGGGTATTTTTCTTCTTTTTATAATATTTAATTTCTAAATCGACAATGGTGCTTCAATTATAGTTGATTTTTTAATTTTTTTATGTTTTATAATTATAAATCGAAAGTGGTCCAATTTTTTAGTTCTTTTATTTTTTAAAATTATAAATCGAAAGTGGTCCAACATGACTTGTGATGTGACCAATAACTATAACGGACTATTAGCCATATCTTGACCCCCAACAATAGTTTGGCTAATAAATAGTATTTTCATAATTATGGCTACTACTTAATAATTTATTGCATTTATTTACCCTAAATTCTTTGCCACGGCAGTCTGCATCAGCAATTGTCTATAAGAAAATACCGAGGGTTTGTTACTTCTACCATCCATGATACATAAATGATAAAACATTGGCGGCAAATTTTACATAGGCCAACGAAATCCTCCATTAATATATAGTAGAGTTTTGTAAACTTTTCTCCATTTCAAATTTCCTGCCATGAGAGTGAAAGTAGGAAGGATATTTTTGTCTTTACAATTAATTATTTATTTCATAAAAAATATCAATATCAAGACTCAAACCCGGGTCTCTTCAGAGAAAGATAGCAATCATAACCAATTATACTAAATGTATTTGTTGTTCCTTTTGTAATACAAAACATACATGTATTTCAACTGTGAAAAGCAGAGAACTTTTCCATCATGATTAACAAGTGCACTAAGTCTACTATATGTATTTTCATGGTGCTTAATACTTCAATTTTTATAGTACAGTTTCATTTAATTTTATCAATTTTAGAATTCATGCTCTCTCTTTAATTTTCGCTAAAGGTAAATTGGTAATTGGCTAACATGGAAGAAACTATTTCCTTTACTATGTGTTGTGTCCTTGCATTTTTCAATATAAATTTAAATTTTGTGCCTTTTTTTATCTTTGTTCTTATCTCTTTCTAATTTTCTCCGAAATTCCCTCCATCGTGCAATAGTTTGCGTGCTTTCACTTCCCAGTATAAGGAGCATTTGAAAATCAACATTCCGGTATCTTTTGGCACTGCAATTTTATTCTTGGAGATTTAAGCTGGACAAGTAGAAGATTTCAACTCTCATATCAATCCATGGCCAATAGAATGGAGTTCAATCAAGTAGTTATGGCATGGCCCTGATTATCTCGCTCGATTCCTCTGCACTGGCATCACCCAATAGTTCTGTCTCTCCCCGATGTACTATCAGAAGAACTATTTTGCTGCTTCTATTGATGAAGCCAATGTTTGATCAGTTATACCTTTCGCCTTTACTCCTCTTCCTATACCAGACATTGACCTTTAATAGGTTTTCGATTTCCGATCAAGGTTAATCGCTTTACACATGTAAGTTATTCGTTTCTTCTCTATGTCTCATGGTTTTATCTTTCTGATTAATAACAAAGCGACTTTTATTTTCATGTTGTCTCATGAGCACAACATGCATAATATCTATTTATTTTGATCTTATTGCCTGAAACGATGCTTAAAGCTCGGTGGATCTCCTGCGTGATTTCTCCTCTTTCAGTTATTAGGTTTCAACTTCAATGTGTTTCTATCTTCATATTAGGTTCATCGAATTGAACTGGCAGGCTATTATTTCCTTCCCGGTTTATCTAAGTTTTTTGTTTATGAATGATTTATTAAATATAGAAAATGAATTTGAACGATGGTTTGGGTACTATATTTGTTTGTAAGCAAAAGAGATGTTTGTGTAGAACATGGCAGTTGTACTTTGCTAGAGCCCTGTCCACTTTGTTGTGTGTTTCCTGTACTTTATTTTTGTTCTTTGCTTAGCTATTGAAATAATAAAATAAGATCAAAATGAGAAAAAAGGTTTCTTTTCAATTACAATATCTCCGCTCATATTTGATTTTGTGATAACTAATGTTCTCCGCAACCATAATTTTCCTCATTAATTTTTATTCTTATCTCACTAATCAAATTTTGATATTGTTTTAGAATTATTTAGAAATTTAGCTTTCATGCAACAATCTAGGAGTTTGAGGTGTTGAACTTGGAGTAGAAGAGTTAGGATTGAGTTTGAAAATGAGAGTGGTGGGGGGAAGAAAAATTCAATTGTAGCATGTTAAGGCAGAGAAGAGGGAGTTACCGAGGGTTGTGATCGAATTGAGGAGGGTGTTGAAAGACGCGAAAGCAAAACTGGAGCAGTTAAAGAGAGAGAAGTGAGAGATGATGAGGATATTAATAAAAATGGAGAGGGTATTGAAGGACATGGAAGTGTACTGAAGCATGTGAAGGCATACAAGGGGGGAGATGAGCATATTGATGGAATTGGACTATTGGAGATGAGTTTTGGTTTTAGCGAACTTATTATAACTGGCCTTGAGGAAGATGAGTTGGCAAAACACAGGAAGAGGATTGAGGAGTTGAAGAGCGAGTTGACAAAAACCCTAATTGGAAGAGAAATTGAGGGTCGCAGAGAGAAGGTCCATCAAAGTAGCAGAAATGGAGTTGCAGAAGGAGGATTAGAAAGTGAATGTTTGGTTGAAACATATGCTTCTTGAGATTGAAGACAGAGTAGATAAAAATTTGGTCGTTCAATGGAGAGTGGTCGCTATTGGATCATTAGGTTTATAGTTTTTGCAGCTACCACAACCTATTTCTATCTTAAAACGAGTAATCATTGATTGATTTAATGAAGTAGGTTGATTCTTTATTCAACCTAATGGAACTGATAGATAAGGACTGTCTAATTTTGCGTCATATTACTTTGATCGAGTCTATTAGTATATTGGAGGTAACCCAATTTACTTTGATCGTTTGCTCTCAAGTTTTGATGGTCCACTCTTAGCCGAGTTGTTAGTATATAGTTGACTTGAACCTACAACTATCCATTTCTTTTTTATTAGTGGCATATTGCCCCCAAAATGAGAGAATTGAACCATTTACGTAGGATTGTGAGGTTTTAGATTCAGTTTCAAACTATCTATGGGTCGTGTGGGAATTCCAGTGAGCTTTTATACTCTATCTTTCTTAACAATCAACTAACCAATAACATATTAACTGGGCTTAATTATCATTATGAAAATGAGATCAATCATACATTTTTATGTTTTATTTTCTCAAATGATGATGATATTTCTCTGAATGTTCGACCTATATATTCTTTCTTTATGTATCATCTCGATCGAAAGATTGCCAATAAAATTAAACAGGTTGATAGACTTTAACGTAACATAAAAAGTAGAAAAAATAAAATATAAACATTCCGGCCAACGGGCCGGATTATAAACTAGTTAGAAATATTACACTCTTTCTATAGCGTTGCTTCTTTCCAGAGCCTTACTTCTCACATCACGAAGGTTCTCTAATCCAATGAAATTAGCAGCTATGAAAACAAGGTTTTCGTTGTGGACGCATCATGCACAAGGGTGGCTATAGAAACAATCCGTCAAGGAACTCATTAAAGCTGTCATCATCGTCATGGTCGATCCTTGAAGCAGAGGCCTTGTTACCTGATTGTGAAAACAGAGGCTTTTATTAGTTCAATGGTTCTCGGTTAAACGTTAAGTTGAACATGTAGAATATTTTTTCCTTTTCAGAAATGGTTGGACCCATCAAAGACCATTGTATTCTATTTCTTCTTTACCCTACCTTTTCTCCTCTTCTCTTTGCTACGATCCTCGTCGTCGCTGCCTGAATGGTCGTCATTACGGTATCGTTCCCTGAGATCATGGGTCAGTTAGACGCCCAACATACAGGTGGAAGGGAGTTGGTGGGCAGAATTGAGAGAGCTTTGACAAGAGGACTGCTAATACATAGAAGATTTGAGGGGGGAGAGAGACTTTGTACAATTTATACCTCTTTCTTTTCTGCTCTTCTTTCTCCTTCTCCAGTTTTCCTTTTTCTTTTCTGTTTCTGTAATTAAGCTTCCCTGCACACCTGAAACCCAGAGAACCAAAATGGAAAATCAATAAGCCCAGGCCTCCAATTCTACCAGTTGCACTCCCGGACATCAAAATAATAAGGTGCAGCCTAACATCCCTAGTACTCTTCTTTTCTTCCGTCTTCTATCTCATTTTCGCTTGGCGCTTAATTAGTCATGGCAATCTATAGAGGCAACTCTTTGCTTGATCTTAGATTGTAAACTAGTCTGCAATCCTCTCAGAGTAAGATTGATATACAGGGTACTGTGCAAGCAGTAGACATTCTTCATGTATACTTACTTTTCACATGCCACCAACTTCACAAGCGCCTGCTTATTTTCTCCAGCTTCAAAATAAGAAAAGTTCACCTGCAATATTTCAGCCAAAATAAGTACACACGGAACTGATAAACTGTAAACAAGTGTAAGTAGACATAAGAAACAACATTATGATATCAATATATCAAGCATCATGGATTTTACTACAACCAAGACAGGAGAACAAATGCTAGCAAAGCCTGTTTCAGAACTGATTATAGGAAGGCTTTATGCAAGTACCACCAAACAATCATTAAGTTTATATGCTACAATCACACTCACATGGCACCACCAGCAGCTTAGCATCGAAATACTTGCCTCATAGCTCGCCAGGACCTTTTCCTCATTACAATGTTTGCTACCACATTTGAACTGCCCTGACAGTTTTAAAACAAAGTCAAATTCTCTTTTCTGAACAAATAAGTTGTAAGGAGTAACTACAATGGGCAGAAGAAAAGGGATGCAGAATGCAGAGATTTCTTGGAAGAAAGTTGGATAAGATAAGCCAATAATATTACCTTTACCAGAAATGACTTCCTTTTCAGTTCTCCATCTCAAACCAATCTAAAACAAGAACTTCAAAAGTTATAAACAACGAACTGAATTTAGGAAAATTCTGAATTGAGTCTGCAGTTTTCCAAACAGTGAGCAGAAGGGCATACATGTCTTGAAAATGATAGTCAAACATATAAGTATGACAAACCAATTCATAGAAATCCTAGAGGCGAGGAAGGAATAACCAGAAGAGAAGATTACTCCTGTAGATCAAAATATCTAAAACATGTAACTAGCTTCACCTCGAAAGCAGTGTCCATACTTCTATGCAGACTCTACAAACATACCTTGCCACTCTTGTAAAACGACATGTCAGCTATGCAGTATCTTCAAAATGGAATTAAGGAAATCAATAATGCCTTATGATAATTTCAGATAATCTTGAAACAAGAAATAAAAATCTATTTCAGTCAACTCAATAACTAAATTTATTGAAACGAATTACAATCTTTTTATCCAAGGATACTCCTTGAAAAGCTTGTCATAATAACGCTTCACCAGCCTTTGCTCCCAGGACGTATCCATGTCATCTTCCTCACTACGTATAAACCTAAGTGTGTCGAATACATAAAAGTTGGAAAAATATCAAATAGAGACTGGAGAAAAGAAAAACCATATAATGGTTAAAACTGATCTTCATCGCCAATTAGAGGATAGTGGGAAAATTGGAAAATGGAATAACTGCACAATGCATTTCCTTCCTTCTCAAGTAAGTATTGTAATACAAACAAATGAAATATAGCACAGCCAGGAAATGCATATTTTACATCTTTCTTCACCGAAGTATCCCAGAAACTATGCCAACTTCTTGTGCACTTATTTAGTAATCAAGTACCAAGATAACATTCCCCCCCTTAGCAGTGGGGAAGAAATTTTCAAGTGGTGCGGTCTTCTTCAATACAGTTCATTTTAATCTTAAGAAACAAGAATGCAGGAAAGAAAGAACAGTTGAAAACAAAGAGCAACCACAGATGATCGAAAGAAGGAAAATCTCTAATTTAAATGCATACAATCAACATGCAAAGTCAGATCAAGCATTTAAAGTAACCCAGCTAGTGTGTTACATGTAAACCATACTAAGACCTACTCGTATACCAAAAATGACGTGGGGAGGAAAGAACATACCGGTAACCTTCTCTTATAGTGTCCTGATCCGTCTTAACAGGCAAGTTGACATTGTCGGACCTTTCTTTCCCGTAGAATCTGACTGCAAACAATAAACACCGGCTTTAAAATAATCAAACCGAAGACTAACAAGAAGACTATCAAAGCACACAGCAGGATCCACCGGCAACAGAAAAGTAATGTAAGGATGACTGTAGCCTCCTTCCTTTCTTAGAGGAGGAGAATGTTCATCATCCTAACTTTTGCTTTAGGACATAAGTATAGTACACATGTAGCTCTTAAATCTGCATATTTTCAGCTTATGTCCACATCAAACCCAGAAGCATAAGGGGGAAATAAGAAAGAGTGAAGAAGTACCAAAACGAGTGGAAAAGGTTTTGTGTTCAGGGAGGCCCTTGCTTCATCCCCTCGAACAAATCCCATTTTGCAGGAGCAAGATAATACCCAATCTCCAAATCCGCAAATGCAATTTCCGCACTAAAACCCTAACCCTAATTTGAAATGCACGAAAGGGGCGAAAGCAAGAGGTCTGCTCAGAAGTGCAAAGGGAAAATCCTACCGTAATCATTCAGGAACTTCTTGTGCCGATCGTAGGCGTTGAGACCTCGGACATGAGCTTGGTATTGCCTGCAACGGAGGGATTATCAGGGGGAAATCTCAAAACTTTCTAGGAAAAAGACAGCGGTAACAGAGGGAAAGAAAAGGAGGAGGAGAACATACTGTTTTCGAGCTTCCCGATCGAAGATTTCAGTTTTCAGAGAGCCAAACGAAGCCATAACGATGAAAATTGCTGCTGCGACTGGCTCCTCAAAACCCAAAAACCAACGAGTATTGCCGGATCCTAAGACCAGGAGCGATGAGTTTGTAATGCGTATGATTTCAAAAGAATAATGGTTAACCTCTCTACTATTGTCATTTGCCCGTTAATAAACGTACCGTACCTCTATTAATTTTTTTGCACGAATATACCCTTTTAATGTTAAAACATAACAATTATATCCTTATGTTAAAGAAAGGGAAGAAGAAGATGTATAGTGCCTCTTGTGAGAGATACTTTGGGTTTGGATGCGAGATGACGAGGAGAAGGTAAACATGCTGGAAGGTTGGTTTGTTTTCTGATAGATAGGCGGTTTGATTTCTCTGGTGGAGAGTCGTCGAGTCGGGGACTAGAGGAAGAAGAAACGTCTGCCGAAAAAGAGGCGTTCCTAGATTTTGATTACTAATTAAATTGGTTTAGGAATAAACATTAATTAAATCGAAATTAGAAGTTATTGAGGGGCAATAAGGTCATTTTACAACCCATTAAACAGCCTTTTAACAGAAAATTGTATGGAAGGGTACAATCGTTACATTTTAATATTAGAAGGGTATGTTCGTGCAAAAAATTAATAGAGGGGCACGTTTGTTAATTGGTAATAATAGAGGGGTCGGAAATGCTATTAACCGAAGGAATAATAATAATAATACTGAATCGCTATTCGTCGCCCTAAAACTTAAATATTTTCGCCCTAAACCATACCAAACTGACAATTTTATCCCAGATTTAATACTAACAAAACTAGAACCCCCAACCCGACCCTGGCGGCCGCCGCCCTTTCTTACGTTCCGACAAAAATATATTAATGGATCTGTTTCCATCCACGCCTGGCGCCTCTCTAAGGAGGGTATATATATATATATATATATATATATATATGGTGGCTTCTATGGTACCCCGGGTGAAATCCGGGGTACCGCATACCTCGAGTATGGAAACTCTATCTAGACCTCGAATTACCAGGATTTTTGTGTCTGATATTATACCCTAACCCTTAATGAGTGAACCCTAGGTCATAATTATCTAAATCATAATCTATAAACCCTAAGATGGTGCATTCCTTTTTGTGCCTATATTTGGATGAATCATAACCGTCGATTATTATTTCTAATTAAATTGATCTTGGAGTATAATTTGGGAGAGTTAACACCTAGCTTTTGATCTTTAAGTGTTAGAGTATAGTATCATGTCCGAAAGATCGGTCAATTCAAGGTCTAGATAGTGTTTTCATACTCAGGGTATGCGGTACCCCAGATTTCACCCAGGGTACCGTAGAACTCGCCATATATATATATATATATATATATATATATATATATATATATATATATAGAGAGAGAGAGAGAGAGAGAGAGAGAGAGAGAGAGACTTCGGCTCAGGAGGATCTGGGGCGTTATTCGTTGCGTTCACCACCGTCGTCGTGGCCAATGGCGACGTTAGCCCTTGATGAAGCCTTCCATCCGTCTTCTGTTGGTTCCTAGGATCTAGTAAAAGCAGCTAAAGTGAAGGGAGAGTGTGAAGTCTGTAGAGCCGTGATCTGGATCGAATTGTGAGGATGAGAGATGAGGAGAAGAAATTGATAAGTCAGAAGGGAAGCGAGAATGGCGGGTAATGGCAGTTTTAGTAATTAGTTGCGTTGCCGACAAATCTAACGGATGGAATCGTCGCCGGTCATCGCTGAGTAATTCCATTTTCTTCCTCCGCAGAGGTCGGCGACGATAGGCTGACATGGTGGTTGGGACGGAGGTGTTGTTGTGAGGTTGGATTGAGAATGGAGGAGGGTAATTGGTCAACTGGAAATTAATGATAAATGTGTAATTTCGTGTGTTTTAGGGCGATAAATTTAATTTTTTAGGGCGACCAATAGCAATGCCCTAATAATAACCAATTTGTTCGTGCAAAAAAGTAATAGAGGGGTACGTTTGTTAATTGGTAATAATAGAGGTGTACGAAATGCTATTAACCCAATGAATAATAATAATAATAATAATAATAATAATAATAATAATAATAATAATAATAATAACCAATTTGTTTTGTTGCTGCGACGTTAAGGTTTAACAAGTGGATTGGTTGATCAGTAGTAGGTTAACCATATATAAAATATAAGACAATTTACTTATAATCCATATTTATATTTATATAAAATTTCAAATTCAAATGAAATAACAAATACTTATATTTAAATACGACATTTAACGTCAATATCTAAACGTTTATATTAGTTAAATTCATTTAAAAAATGTCATTTTACTTAGAGGTTGTAATCTGATCGTGTCGGTCATATCAGTGTTGTTCACGCTGATTTCATGACCGGTAACGCTTAAATCAGGTTCAACCGATCGACAATCAACCGGAGCCACAACCATTATAATAACACTAGAACTGCGAAATTTTAAAACAGGTGTAACATCGGTTATAGTATTCAATATGACACTTTTTTTTTGGAATTCTAGTTTCCATTAATTTATTTTATTAGTGTTAAATCGGAATCGATCAAAAAACTGGGTGGAATACCACCAATATGAAATGGTAGTCAAAGTCTGTCAAAAACTCAAAATCGAAAAAAACCGCTCAAAATCGGAAAACCAGTTGTCCAACCGATATATCCAATTTTCTTCCTCTAAAAAATTACATTGTTTTGGTGAATTTAGTTAACAAAAAATTGTATTTAAAATATGAGTATTTGTAATAATGTTTGTAATATATTTTATTTAAATATAGATATTGATGTTATTTGTTGGATTCAAATATAAACGTTTCGATAATGATCATAAACATTGTATTTAAATATGGATGTAAATTGAAGGGAGATTGTCTTTAGATAGATTTTATATATGCGTAATTCATTTGCTTTTAATAGTTTCCTTCTTTCTCTACATATTTTGCTAAAACTAACATAAGCTGTTTGTACCCTAATTAGATCATTACACTTACTAAATCGGAGTAACGTTATAAACCGGTTTGACAACCTTTGTGCTAACAAAAAAAATTGATAACCCAAGTTTTTTCATGTCTCCTAAGAAAATTATCGATGTCGTGTCGTAATCGAATTGAGAGGGAGAGAGGGATGGATATAGAGAGAGAGAGAGCGCCAAACTGCGAGGTGGAGATAGTCAAGTAGAGAGGGAGGGAGGAAGAAAGATTTTTCGTGGCGAGAGGGAGGATGGAGGCGGGCAATGGGGAAGCAAACAGAAGATGGACGTGGGTGGTGATTATAGATTATGTTTAGGTTTTCTAATTCCCTATAAGCTGTTATATGTGTAAGGTAAACTATTGTATGTCAATAAAAAAATTGATAATTAATATGCATATGAATTACTCAACTCGTCATAGGCCTAGGTTACAATATGCTAAAAGAGTGGGAAAAGAAAGACATTGAGTCTTTGGGTCTAGATCTGTTCCTCCTCCCATCTACAAAGCTTATGGGCCATTAGTTGGGCCGGCTTGTTGCATTGGTGGCACACATAGTTGAAAGTGATTGATCCAATTTGCCTTGCTAGCTGAGACATCTCCCAACTTATACCTCCAATCTTCAGCACATTTTTCTCTTCTGTTTCTACCCTCTACACCAAACAAACAGTCAATTTCCACCTCTCCGGGTAGGAAATGATGGCGTTGAGCTATCTCGATCCCAAATCTCATTGCATGAGCTTCCACCATCTCCAGCGGCCATTGTCGTTGAGCTCTTCTTACCGCAATCAAACAAAATTCTCCTTTCTAGTCTCGAATTACCACCCCGTAACATGTTCCTTGACCAGAGAGTAACGCGACGTCCACATTGATTTTGAAGATCGTAGCCGCTTGTGTCGCCAACTCATGGATTGTACTTTCTGGTAGGATTTGGTAGCTATTTGATTTTGTTTGTACTATATGTGCCAATCGATTTCCCTTGCGATGATCTCATTCTCTTCTTTTTTTTGTTATGTTCCACATTTGCGAGTTTCACTCGTCCTAATGAACCAAAGAGCTAGCTACCTCCAGCAACTCAATTGCGTCTTCAGATTCTTGCTCCTACAATTCACATGGTCATTCCTCACAAGGATTCCCCTGCACCTTTCTCGAATAGGGATTTCATATAGGTAGGTTGCTAGACTCTTCTTGTCCAAACGCAATCCTAAAAAATATGTAGTTGGGTTTCTGTCAATCCACAAAATGGGCACCCTTCACTACCTCTGGTGGTTCTAGCTGAGATGTTGCCTCCTGTTGGCAGTATGTTGTGCACCCTCGAACCTTAGGGTGGTCTTCAGACTCCAAATCTAATCCAATTTACTGGGATGTATCTCTCTCCCACTGCATCGTCTCTACTAGTTTGCCAAGCAAAATCGACACTTTTGACTATGTACTTCCCTGTCTTCTCAAGTGTCCAAACCCTAACTTCTTCCTGTTGTAGTCTTGGAATTGGTACTCATTATTCGGTGTCGATAAGATGGCTCAAAATGTGACTGTACTACATCCTGTCTCCAACTTCTTGTCTGAAAATCAATCAGGTCTGACACTTTTAGGGGAGGATTATATGTAGCTGGGCTATCTCTAATACAATGGTTCCCCTCGTCCATTAGCCATTTATTAAACCATATATGGATCTTTGTACCATTGCTTAGCTTCCATCTTAGCTCTGCAACAACCGACTCCTTAGCTTCCATTATGCTCCTCCAAGCATAGCTAGGATTATGAGGAATCTGTGCTTCCAACACATCATTATTTGGGTGGTATCTAGCCTTTAGTACCTGTCCTACCAATGATGAGGGTATTTTGGGATGGTTCCACACCTGCTTACCCAACAGGGCCAAGTTGAAACCTTCCCAGACCATAAATCCCGTTCCACTCTCTTTCGTGGTTCTGCATATATCTTACCAACTTTTCTAATGGGTTACTCACTCTAGCTGCTTTTGACCTCACCATAAATTGGCCAGGATTCTCTGTATTCTAGTATCCCCAAAGGAATTTTAAATATCAACATAACATATGTGGCATGTGCCTGTGCTACTGATTTAATCAGCACCTCTTTGGCTGCACTAGAAATAAGTCGACATTTCCAAAGTTTGACAATGCTTTTGATTCTGTCGACAATGTAGGTGAAAATCAATCTCTTTTCCCTGCCTATTATAGTTGCCAAGCTTAGTACTTTGCATGGAAATCCACCTGTTTCATCCCTATAATCCTAGTCGGTTCTCATCTTCTTGATTTAGGCAAATTAGGCGAGAAGGATAATTCAGACTTTGAAAGATTTACCTGCTTACTTGTTTCCTGTTCATAAGTAGATAGAATTTCTTTTAATTTCGTACAAGTTGTCTGGGTTGCACGAATGAAAATATACTATCATCCGCAAATAGTAGATGAGACACATATGAAGCATTCCCCACAATCCTAATCCCTTCTATCTATCCTTCTTATTCTGCTTTCGATGTAAGAGCAGATAACCCTTCAGCTACTATAAGAAAAAGATAGGGGGATATGCGGTCCCCCTGTATGAGTACTTGACTCGCTCCGACCATCACAATAAAATCCCACCTAAGGCCCAAGTATAAACCTTAGATGGGTGCAATATAGCGCAAGTATGTTTAAATATCAACTAGGCCGGCCTATGTACCCATACTTCGATTGTTTGAAACATTATCTAGTGGAATGTTGTTTGTTGAAATCTCTACAATCTACTATTTAAAAGCAAGACTTGAAAAGTAAATGGGTGGAAACTCTTGGTGAGAAGCTTCACTCGGGTGTTGCTTCCCTCTAAGTAACTACCATGAACAGTGGATCGAATGAACCGGTGTGTGACAAGGCAATTGTGACCCATAGGAGGTGCAACAATGGTTAGAAACCATCCTCTCAATTGCTAGGCCAAGGGAACATTAGAGGCTACAATTGTAGCCCTCTTGGCACAAGTACTGAGGGTTGACTTACCTTCTCCCTCAAAACAAGGCTTGGACGGTATAATCACAATTAACAGAGGTGTCTAATTCAAGTTAGACGTTTGCCCTTTAATAACCTAGTTAGGAGACATGGAATGCCTAAGAAAACCCAGCTCAATTAGAGCCTCTTAAAATAAGGGGGCTTCTCTCTAAGCTAGGTTACAATAGCACAATAGATTGATAGGGGGTTACGGTCGAGTTGTGGGTCGGGTTGATCGGACGGGTTAGTCGGGTCGGGTTCTGTTTTGACATCTATAGTGTTATCACCATATCCCCTCCCACTCACATGTCACCCACAAGTATAAAAAAAAAGTCATAGAAATTAGGGCTAATACCACTAGGAAACCCGAAATATTAATTTTGTGTCATTTGTGTCCTAAAGTATTCGATATGACATTTGTGTCCTAAACTATTTTTTTGTTAGAGTTGACCGTTAGTTTTTAACAGAAAGTCTAGTCAGCACTTATGTGGCATCTGACGTGGAACTTTTATTATTATTTATTTATTTTTCCTATAGCTTAAACAAAATAATTAAAATGAACATAATTGGGAAATTGAAAGCCACCGCCTCCGCCACCACAAAAATCCTCCTCCTCTGCGATAATCCTCTCCTCTTCTTCCCGAGCCGCCAGGAACTCCGGTCAGCTCTCCCCTTCGCTGCCTCCTCACCTCCGCTCCAATCCACTCCATTACGCAATCCTTCTTCACCCTCCCCGATTTCGATTCCACTCCGCTATCCTGTTTCCACCACCAAATCTCGCCCAAATCTCGCTCGCTTTCCATGCTCGCCCTGTCAAACCCTAACTGCGACACGCTCGCTTTATCCGCCCCCACGGCCTCCAGCGACGTATCTGAATCCAAGATCTTACTCACCTGCGAGTGATCGACAGCTGCTCCGGAGTCTTCGTAGCCTCCGGTCGCGATGCTCTCCGCCTCCTCCAGGATGGATCTGTTGTCCTCTCCGGCGGCACACTAGGCGATCTCCCCCGTCTTCAATCTAGAGAGTCCGAAGTGGTGGGAGCGGTGCGGTTGCTGGAGAGCTTCCGGTAGAGTTGGAACCAGATATTTCCCCCACCGCCGGTTTCGTTCTCTCTCTCTGCTACACTGCCCCCGCCTCCAGTCTTGAGTCGCCGCAAACCTCTCACCTCCCACCTCCGCATCTCAGTCAACTGGCTCCCTGACAACCTCATTTGTTCTGACCGGCGGCAATCAAAAGGGTTTCCCCAATCAGCTCTCCCTATCTCACCCTGCTTTCTTCCCCGGAAGTTGCTTTCAGTTTGGGCTAAGCAGAAAAGGCATATTTGCTTGCAATTGGGAGGAAGAGATATGGTCGGCGATGGCGAATTCTGAACTAATTGCAGCTGCTTCTTCGATTGACAGAGACCCACCCACCAGCTGCTTCTTTGATTGACAGAGGAACCCCCGAGCCGGTCCCCTTCTCCGCAATCTTCTTCGTCGCTCGAAATCAGGCTAGAAGCCAAAAATGGAAGGGGCAAATTGACGGGATGAAGATATGAGGATATGTGGCTGAAAATAATTTTAATTGTTAATTCAATTGTTAAAATTTTTATTTTTTATTTTGTATTTTAATTGTTAATTTTTATTTGAAAATAACAACCTGATGTGGTAGTAGACGTGGCGCTTACGTGGCTGCCACATATGTGCCATGTAATCAATAGTCAACATTTTATGGTTGACCGTTTGGTCAACCGTTATCTATAATGGTCAACGAAATTGTCAGGACGTAAATGACACACAACTATCATACGTCAGGACACAAATGTCATATCGAATACTTTAGGACACAAATGACACAAAGTTAATAGTTCGGGTTTCCTAGTGGTATTAACCCTAGAAATTAAAAGGGCGTGCATGCCATGCCAGGCATGGAAAGGAATGAGAAGATCCTGCGCGTGTGGCTCAATATCACTGTTTGATGAGTGTGTTGAAAGGGAAAGTGGGTGACTGAAATTTTCACTTTTTATTTGTATTCGAGCCGAATTTAGGTACCAAAATTTTCAACTTTTACAGGTCGTTTGTTTCGTGGATTTTAAAAATGAAAATTTTGGTAAAACTTGGGTTTTGTATAACCATAAATATATGAGAGTTTTGGGTTCATCATGGACTTGAAAAATATCATTGTTTGTTTCACATTATGGAATTGGTTAATTAAATTTGTATGTATGAAGTGAAATTTACCTTTTATTGCGCTCATTGGTATGAAAATGGAAATTAAATAAGAGGGCAGTTTGGTATTAAATGATAGACTTCAAAGTCCATGATCACTTTCCTAAATAGGTGGAACTTTGAAGTCCATGTGGTCCATGGATTTGAGTCCTTAAAATTTGTGGGACCCACGGATTTGTTGTCCCTAAATATATGAAGCAACCAATGGATTTTGGACAAAGTCCATGATGGATCCAAATCCATCACAAAATCCATCAAGCAAACGACCCCTTAAATCTTGGGCATTTTGGAACTCTTTATTAGAGATAAATAAATTATTTTGTTTGTCTTTCTATTTTTCCACTATCTCTTATGTTCCTATTCTTCTCGGAAGTGCCTTCATGTGATTCTTTTAGTTGCTAGCATTTTGTAGCAACTCGTGTATATTAGGGGAAGATTAACTCAATGTAAATCATGTTAGTTATCAATATCAAATCTGTTAACGATACATCTTTCATGGTATCCGAGCCAGCAATGCTCAGCTAGCCCCGATCCATCTATTCTTCCTTCTCTCTCGTTTACCTGTGATCATCTTATTCCTTCCGCTGCATCATGTCTGGCAATAACTCCACTGTGACTGAAGAGGCAATCATCACCTTCAACCCTGCAGCTCAACTTCCTCTGAAGCTCACATCTACCAACTTCAATTCTTGGAGGTCTCAATTGGAAACCCTTCTCATGGGTCTTGACCTCATCCACTTCATTGACGGTACCGGCGTCGCACCCACAACCACCGTTTCTGTCAACAATGTCAAGAGCCCTAACCTAGTTTATCGTTGGTGGTTTAGACAAGATAAGCTTATTCTTCATGCCCTTCGCTGCTCTATTTCCGAATCTCTGTATTCCTATGTTTCTGCCGCTGTAACTTCTCATGAAGCGTGGTTGATCCTTGAGAAATTGTATGCTTGTCGCTCTCAATCTCGTATTATTAATCTGAAGGGTAAATTGGCTCGCACAAGCAAAGGCAACTGTGATATTGTCACCTATGTCAATGATCTAAAGCTCATTGCAGCCGAGCTTGCACTGGTTGATGCTCCAGTGTCTGATTTAGATATGGTTGTCCACTGTCTTCGCGTGCTTGGAGCTGATTACAATCAATTTGCGGCGACGGTCCGTGCCAGAGGCACCACAGTCAACATCGAATAACTTTTGGATTCCCTCATTGAGTACGAGGCTAACCTCAAAGAGCAGGCTCGCCTCTCTACAGTGTCGACGACTTTCTATTCCCATGGTGTGCCTCTTCGTGGTGGGAATGTGGCCTCCTTCAGCAGCGGTGGCGGAGGCTCTTCCACTCCCGCTCGTCCTCAACAATGCCACCAACAGTATGTTTTTGGTGTGGATTCACACTCTTCGCAGGCCCACCTGCCTCATTATTCAGGCAACCCACTTTCCCCTCAGGAGCCCATCTGCCCAAGCAAAGCCCAAGTTGTATGTCAGTATTGTAAGAAGCCCGGACATTCAGTCTGTCAATGCTTCACATTATTCCCTCAGGCCCGCCAGTCTTTTATTCAATCCCGTCAGGCCCAAGCACACCATACAGCCCATGCTTTGGGTACTTCTTCTTCCGGGCCTTGGCTTATGGACTCAGCAACATCTCATCATGTGACATCTAATTTAGGCAATCCATCTCTATATTTTGATTATACCAGCCCGGGTGAGATTCTTGTTGGGCATGGCACAGGTTTGGCAATATCCCATATTGGTTCCTCTACTGTTTCTATTGGTGCTCATCACTTTAATTTAAGTGACATCTTATATGTTCCGAATATCAAGCGACGTCTTATTTCCGTCACAAAATTGCGTCAAACTAATAATGTCTCTGTGAGATTTTTTGCCACTCATTTTGTTGTGAAGGATCTTCGCACGGGGGCGCACTTGCTGAGGATTTTCTTGCTGAAACAACAGTGATGTTTATGAATTACCTCGAGTTGTGGAAAAGGTTAAAATCGCCCTGGTCACCACTCTAACGTTAGTCGCTTCCTGGCAAGCTCGACTCAGTCACCCTTTGCATCAATCTCTCACAACTCTCATTCGGTCGTACTCTCTTCCAGTTTCGTCATCACTAGCTCTTTCTTCTTGTGATGCTTGTCTTTCTAATAAAAGTTATAAACTGCCATTTTTCAGTCTCTTGTCTTTCTAGTACTCGGCCATTTGATCTTTTGTATAATGATGTTTGTAGCCATGCTCATGTTCCTTCTATTGATGGTTTTTGCTATTACTTGGTTATTATTGATCATTTTACTCGTTATACCTGGTATTATCCATTGCGCAAAAAATCTTATGCTCTCCGCGGTTTTCTCGACTTTTCGCAAAATTGTTGAGAATTATTTTACTACAACTATCCGTCACCTCTACACGGATGGTGGAGGTGAATTCCAAAAATTGCGTTATGATCTTATTAACCATGGCATCACTCATCTTCTTACTCCTCCTCGTACTCCTGAACATAATGGTCTGGCTGAAAGAAAACATCGTCATCTCGTTGAAACGGGTATCACTTTGCTGCATCATGCTAAGCACCCTACTTCTTTTTGGCCCTTTGCTTTCTCCACTACTATCTATCTTATTAATCGCCTACCTTCCTCCGCCTTACGTGGTAAAACTCCCTACACTCTCCTCTTCAGCTTGCCTCCTAACTATCACAAACTTCGAGTTTTTGGTTGTTTATGCTATCCTTGACTCCGTCCTTATTCTTCTCACAAGCTCAATCCCCGGTCTCGTCCATGTCTCTTTCTAGGTTATTGTCCTCAACGCAATGCCTATCGTTGTTTCAATCCCACCACTCACCGCCTTTTCTGTCCCGTCACGTTGTCTTTGTTGAGAATGAATTTCTAGGTTGTCTCCCTACCACTTCGACCGAGCCGCCACAACTAGCCACTTGGCTACTCGACCAGTCGCCTACCATTTCCCTTTTGCCGAGCTGCTCTACTCCCGTTTCCACCAGTGGGCTTCCACCGGCCCATTCCTCCTCAACGCAAGATGCTTCCCCAGCGCAAGATGCCTCTCTGTCGGGCCCTTCCCATTCGCCCACTCCTGCTGGGCTGGTTACTCCACCATCTGGGCCACCTCTCTCTTCTGGTCCCCCGCCACCCATCATGAGGTCTCATCTCATGCAAACTCTGGCTCATAGGAGTATTTTACGTCCCAAGAAGCGACTATTTACTGCCCAACTCCAACCTGGGCCGCCTCCTCTTTATCCCCACACTATCAAGGAGGCTCTCTAATACAATGAGCGGTCCACTGCCCTCGGCAGAAAATGAAGCTTTATTGGTCAATCACACATGGGATTTCGTGCCCCACCTGCCTCATTATAATGTTCTTGGGAACCGTTAGGTCTATCGTGTCAAGCATCATTCTGATGGCTCTATTTCTCGGTTTAAGACTTGCCTTGTTGCCAAGGTATTTCATCAGCGTCCCCGACTAGACTTCACCGACACATTCAGTCCCGTTGTAAAACCTGTCACAGTTCGCACTGTCTTTACATTGGCTCTCTCTCACAACTGGCCTATTGCTCAGTTTAATGTTAACAATGCTTTTCTACAGGGGCCTTTACAGGAAGAGGTTTATATGGAGCAACCCCCCGGTTTTGTCGATCCCACTCGTCATCATCATGTATGGCGCCTCCGGCGTGCTATTTATGGACTTCTTCAGGCGCCTCATGCTTGGTATACTGCTTTGAGTACTTTTCTTCACGACTTTGGCTTCATGAAGACACATTCTGATGCCTCTCTCTTTGTGTATTCTCGCGGCAACAATCTTCTCTACTTCCTGGTGTATGTTGATGATTTACTGCTCACCGGCAACAATCCTGCTCTCCTCTCCATATTTCAGCAGGCTCTCTCTAGTTTTTTTATCTCTCAAAGCACTTGGTGACGTAAACTATTTCTTGGGCATTGAGGTTATTCCTACTTCCTCTGGCTATATTCTGTCTCAGCATCAGTACATGGTCGACCTGCTCCGCCGCTTTCTCATGACTGACTCCAAGGCTGTCGATACTCCCTTGGTCTCCTCAGCCACTCTCACTCTTAAGGATGGCATGATGCAATCCTAGAAGGTTGGCCTGATCAGAATGCACACAACTTCTCAACTCAGCGACGAAATTGAATCAAAACTAAAGGAAAAACAAACAGGGGCAGATTTGGTTATGGTTTGATGGTCACTTTCGTGCAACCTCGCACAAGGAAGGAGGCTCAAAAGAGATAGGTAGACGCTCGTCCACGAACAATGTGGGTAATTGCTCGATAGAAGACCTCGAATTGCTCAGGATCCTCTAAGAAACTCACTCAAAACTCACGAAGCAAAACTTAATGAATCAAGACTCAAATTGAATTCAATCTCTTGGTAATCTCTCTTACAATACAATGTCCAGCCTTTAAATAATAACCTAGCTACGTTTATCTACTCATAAGGATATCCTAATTAGCTTATAATACGAATAGAAACTCCAAACAAACAAGGAAACTGAATCTGAATCAAACAAGGAAAGAAACTTTGTTTTTACAACACATAAATTTGTGACGTCGTACTAACTTTGAGACCTTGGTTCGAAGCCTTCTAGGTATCTCTTCATTCAGCCAATCTCTTCCCTTTGTAGACAAGAATACTCACTTTCGTGTGATAGAAACCCCTTGAACCAACTCTGCTCCATGCTCCCTGAATTGAGCTCCAACGTAGGCTTCCTAATCACTTTTCCAGACTTGGCTATTTCCTTGCAGTTTTCCAGTGTTGGCATAGCCTTTTGATCAGCTTCGAAAATGGCCTTCTGAAGTTTCTCTCGAGCTTCCAAGCATACCCTCGTGTAGAACAAGTTCCCATCTTCAATATGAGCCACTAAACTCGAATTTCCAGTGAACCAATTGTAAGGAACAAGTTCCAGTGAATCAATTGTAAGAAACAAGCATCCCAACCCGGCTTCTATACTTAGCCAAAATTGATTTCTTCTTTTCCAAACCATGGTTACTTCTTGGCCAAGCAAAACATACTCCTGAATCCTGCAAACTGGGATTCATCATGGTAGTCCCCGACGGATGCGACCCGTTTTCGTCAAGTTATTGGTGCTCTCCATTATCTTCTCTACACTCATCCTGACCTTGTCTTCTCCGTCAACAAGCTTTCCAAGTAAATGCATGCCCAGACCGCTTACATTAGCAGTGCGTCAAGCGGCTACTACGCTATATCTCTGGTACTCTAACGTATGGCCTCACCATTTGTCGTACATCTGGCTCCATCTCTTTGTCTGTCTTTGCTGACTCCGATTGGGCAGGGACCCTTGACGACCGCTCCTCCACTACTGGGTATCTTGTCTATCTTGGTACTACTCTCATCTCATGGCGTTCTCAAACAAACAACGCACAGTTGTTCGCTCTAGTACCGAGGCCGAGTACCGGGCCATTGCCAGTGTCACTGCGAAGCTGGAATGGGTCCAAAATCTTCTCCTTGAGCTGCTCCACCCACAATCTTCTCATACAACCTTGGTGCCACTTACTTTAGCGCCAATCCCGTTTTTCACTCTCGCATGAAACATCTAGGCTCTGGATTATCACTTTGTTCGGCAACTCGTTCAGGATGGTCGACTCCGCGTGGCCTACATTCCCACTTCTCATCAGTTGGCTGACGACGTTCTCACCAAGTCGCTTCCCTCGACTTGGTTTCTACTTCTTCGATCCAAGATCGGCGTCGTCGATACCTCCTCCATCTTGCGGGGGGCACCCGCGTATTAGAGATAAATAAATTATTTTATTTGTCTTTCTATTTTCCCACTCTCTCTTTTGTTCCTATTCTTTGGGGAAGTGCCTTCGTGGGACTCTTTTAGTTGCTAGCATTCCTTAGCAACTCATGTATATTAGGAGAAGATTAACTCTATGTAAATCATGTTAGTTATCAATACCAAATCTGTTAGTGATACATCTTTCACTCTTGTTGGAGGTGATTATTTGGAACTTATGATTTTTTCATGTTATTGTTGAAAATGTTCTAAGGAACAATATAGAGGAAGTGGTAACGTAATTAGTAGTTACTATAATACTTTTATAATAAGTGTTAGAATCTATCTCCTCTCGTAGTTAGAGGCACCGGATCAGGACTCTCCTTATGCACGAAGAATGGTTTGGGAGAAGAAGTGAGGCATGCTAGATTAGGTATCGTTGCTAACTTCAATCGCGGGCAAAGAGGTCGTGCAATGGCCAAGCGTCGTATACTCCCAACCAATAACATTGGAAATTTTAAGTCGATCGCTCAGCCAACTCCGACACCACCTGAGCAACCAGTGGACCATCCACAGCACCAACCGCGGCGGCTGGCCACCCGCAAACCCCATCCTGCGGTGACGTCAGTTGAGGTGGCGCAAGGCAATGGAAGGAGTCCAGTGCTGTCCTAGCAAATCAAACATGGAGCTTTGAGAAGCAGCTCAAGCCATAAATACAAGACCAAGAGATCATGCGGATACAGATAGGACGATCTCAGGAGTGCCATGCTGGTAAAGGGTTGGTTCATCAACTTAAAAGAGAGACGAGGATATGAACTAATGGGACTCTTTTTTGGTCCATTCAGGATTAGAGAAGTGAGTCATAGGAACCAACTTCACAGCAATATTGTTACAGCCTATTACAGAGGTTGAAGATTTCGATAAGTTTTGTTACAAGGTTAAGATTCTCAGAATTCTATTGGCATAGATCCAACAGGCAACAGCTGTAGTTTGCTGCAGGCAGCCCCAATGGGTAATTCTGTGAATCTAGACGCATCAAACATACATGGTAGCACAAGGAGGAGCTATGACAAACCAACGAAGGTCTCAAAAACACTTTCGGTGAACGACGGATGGTCCAGTTTCATCATATTCTCCCTTAGTAACGTGCTGATTTTGAGGAAACACAACTTTGGCAAGTATAGCACCTCCCACCCATGCTGAAAACTCTGTCAGCTTGTCCGGCATATACTCTGGAGGCTGCAATCGCCACATAGAATAACAGTGCATACCAGATCAGAATTCGAAGGAGCTAAGATCTGTCTAACTAGATCAATAGCCACCAATAAATGTCCCTTAACTACTGTTTTAATCAAACACATCCACAAAGTCAACTTCATCCATAACATGTTTTGATGAGCATCATTTTATTTGGCCAGCCAATATCAAATTAGTCATGATCCTCAAGGCCAAACCGGGATAGTAGATAGAGAAGACTCCCAGTTGCACATTTACAGACAAAAAAAGGAACAAAGATGGAAACTACGACAGTCACAAGCTAAGAAAAATTACTATGCATAAGCTCCATGGCATGATCTTTAAGAGAAATAGGCAGAAGGTACACCTCTGAAAAGATATGCAGGAATAGTTTTATCTCCAACAATAATAGAGCCTAGTAGTACCTTGACAAGTGAAGGACGAATAGCTGAAGAGCATAATCCAGCTTCTTTCTGAAATCTATCTTCGAATCCTGCAAAAGACCAACATTATAATTTCATCCGCAACTCCATACTAATGGTGTCTCTTCATCAAGCGAGCTGACTGAACAAATATCACACAGGCATCCATTCTGGGAAGAGATTGGGCATACCAAAGTAGACACCACAACATGTATAAAATCCCTCTAATCCATCATTCATGGTAAGTAACAAATGTTGAGTCCAACGATTATGAAAATGTGACATATTAATCTTTCAGTGAGGTAAGAGAAACTATTGATGACAACTCTTATTCCTATCAAGGACACAAATCACCAATGTTCATAATACTCACGTGACATATTAATCTTTCAGTGAGGTAAGAGAAACTATTGATGACAACTCTTATTCCTATCAAGGACACAAATCACCAATGTTCATAATACTCACAACGAGGTCAATGTATGATTTTCATGAGAAATAAGAATGTGAATAACCGATTCCTGGATGAATCAGCCACTCACCAGGCATAGCAGTTATGCCACCACAAAGCACAGTATTTTCCAGAAGCTGCCGATGATTATCAGAAGAAACTGTCGAAATACAACGGACAAGTTGCTCAACAATTCCATGTGCCTCAAGCCCCAATATGACAGGTTGGAACAAGGCCTCGCCAATAGTATATCTTTCTTTTCCAATACTTATCACCTGAAAGAATAATAGCCACATAATTTAGAATCCTAATTTCTTTCCTTTTTCTTGTTTCTGTAGAATAAACAGAGCACCGTGTTTGTCAGAACATTATTCACATCCCATTTCTACGGCTATGAAAAACCAGAACAGAAACACAATCAAGGATTTTTTCGTGATAAGTTTACATTTGAAAAGCAACTCCAAATGAACTGCATTCATAATCAGAATGTCACAATGAAGAATGAACACTAAAAATGCCACCTTAAGTTGAATATAGCTCATTTTTCTATAATCATACCAGCAAGCGAAATCTAAGGGAAATGCTTGGCTGCTTAGCTGTTAATGAAAATATGTCTTGACGTTCAATGAACATGTCAGTATTTTCTTTATTTTTTTGATTTCCTGTGTCAGCTTTATCTAGTGTAGGAAAAAAGGCAGACCTGGCCATCAGGAAGTGTATGCTGCTCTATCTCATTCGTTTCTTGTGTTTTCCTGTAAGCAAACTCATCTTCGGCACAACAAGAGTACTTTTCTTTAATTTTCTCAACATCAGAAATATTGAGATTAACCGTGGGATTCGACTTGGCCAATTCTTGAGCCAGTAACTTCGTCAAGTCAAGTCCCCCAATTTCAAACCTTTTGGAGGATATCTGCTGCACAGCACCTTCAAGTACAGGTGCAATATCTGGAAACGAAGGGGATCAGACATGTAGGACCAATCAATTAAAGCCAAACTGAATTTATTGACTAAAAACGAGGATTAAAAAATGCAATATGGTTTATATACCTATTTTCCCATGACCAATGTCAACTGTGCATCCAGAGATACGCCCAACTGCATAGAGAGACAAGACTGCTTGTTCAGATGCATAGAATCCAGACACATTAAATGTTTCAAACATCAACTGGACCAATTGCTCTTTAACAGCCTGCAAAAAAAGAAAGGGGTTCTCTTCAGATAAATATAGACCCAGAAGTACATTCTATGTTAAATACTAGACAGAGGCACACAATCTAAGATAGTGGCATAAGAATCTTGATCAAATATCTAGTTTAACTAATGTTTGAACATCTGCTACACCAACTGCTGATCTGAAAAAGAGACACCACCATTTTCCTCCAACCCTAACTGTACACCCAAAATTAGTTGACACTGAGCAACCTACTAACAAAGAAGTCTAATAAAACTTAAGAAGTTAGTTCATGTGTAGCAAACAAATTAATAAAAGAGATCGCTCTCTTTCAATAACTTTACATCTTCAGTTGAGATCCAAGAAAAAGGAATCTCAGCCAACTCAAGATCAGAGTTACACTGCTAAGACTTTCTTATTTCAATTGCATCTAGCAAAGATGCTACGACCTCATTTTTTTTTATGACAACAGCAAGCCTCCAATGCTAGCAAGGATGCATCATATTCCAAGTTTTAGTATATAATGAAAGCTTCGGCTAACCTTGGGTGTGAAAAGCGGATCAGTAAACAAAACCTGTCCTTCATTTCCTTCTTCCCATTCAAGACCTGTGTACAGAACATATTGCAGCAAATCCTCCATAGCATCCCAATCTTTTATGCAACCTCGAACCACTGGGTCAACTGTAAAATCCTCAACTACTGGACTATCAGCTGCTGATCCTTCCTCGAGCATGCGCTTCATTTGCGTGGGAATTATCTGTTTAGACAAGAAAGAAGTTGGATTCCCTCTCCCAATATGCAACTCACTTGACCAAGGTGGTCATCTTCTGCTAGGGAACATTTCAACTTCATACTAGGAAAAATAATTGCCTTCGGTCTCTCCTTCATTCAGGTTATGAGCTCCCAGAAAGGATATATAATCTACTTGGTTCACTTTATTGAAACATTCATACAAAATGACATTTTGATCACAAAATCAACTTATACATGACATAAAAGGAAAATTAAAAGTCGTAAATTCAATACATTCGGTAGTTTATTAATACCCAAAGGACTAAGGACTATAGAGAGCACACTTGTTAGCGATTCAGAGCTAAAGGAAAAGGTAAAAATCACCGTGTGCTTATTTTCCCGCAATGTTTTCTCATGCAAAGAAGGCGAAAGGATGATAAAGACGCAGAAATGACAAACAAGCTAGTCATTTCTATGACACTGAGTTATCACTTACCCCATTGACAGAGAGAAAATAAAAAGGGACAAAATTCCGAACGGAAGATAGAGCGAGGTTAATTACCATTGGCGGAGCTTGGTCCGGGACGGCGGTACCGGCTTTCAGGAGCTTGGATCCAGCGTCTATCACCACCGCCTCCATGGATGACGGAGAACCCAAAACCCTAGCTTCACTATGCTTATGAAATCGAGATTACGGGGTGAAAGTCCACAGCTCTGAGAGGTCGAGAGAATTCTGCTGCAAAGCCGTAACCAAGAAGCGGAAACTTCAATTAGTTGGTTTAAGCTCTCGCAGCCCAGAAGCTCCCAAACTCAGTCCACAGGCAGTCAAGCTCCGCTAGGTTATTTTATCTTTAGCGGGCTGCCCTCATTTCAAACTGCCACAAGTTTTTTGAGATATTTACAGCCGTTTCGGGTGAGACCTGCTCACATAGTGTTTGCAAGTAAAAATTAAATTGTACCAGATGGTTTACTTATTTATAAAGTCAAATCTAATTAAATCAATTAATATTGTTAATGTGGGCCTGATGGTATTAGGTTTAAAAGCCCAAACAATTAAGTAGTATGGGAGTAGGAATGACAATGTGGCAGATTCGGCGCAGGTTCGGGATAGGTTTTTTGGTACCCAAACTCGTCTCGTGACAGGTCGGGTAATTTATCACGAGTGGCGGGTTGGGGCAGGTCAACCCAATGGGTATGCAATTTATATGAAAAACATTAGAAATATTCGTTATATATATTATAAGACCAAGAAAACAAACAATATTATGATAAATGTAGTTAAATTATTGGAAAAATTGAGGTTTTCATTAATTTACACCTTTATTATAGCTAAAGTATGATGTAATAAAAGGAAAGTCCTAAGTAATTTGACTAAAATTACATGTAATTTAGGCAAGAACGGGTCGAGAATGGGGCGGGTCAAGGCAGGTCGGGTCGATAAGAGTACCCATGCCCGCCCCGCCCCAAAACAGGCCAAACAGGTCGGGTAAAACGGGTTAGGTCGAAATTGTCATTCTTATATGGGAGCATGAACATGAGTGGATGGGTTCATGCTTCTCGTCGAAGGGTCATGCCACGAGATCACGACGCACTCATGGTCACAACTCACAAGACCGCATGCAAAAGAAATAGACTAAGTCTGGAGAAGTCTATAGTCGCAAGACAAGAGGGTCATGGGCACGCATGACTAAGAAGTTCATAGCCATGTAGCGAGAGGGTCATTGGCGTGAGACAGAATTCCATGGTTGCGAATGGAACGTCCATGGTCGTGTAGCAAGAGGTCATGCCGCGAGATCATGCCTCATAGCCGCGAGGTTGTATGCCCAAAAATATACTAAGCTCTGAGAAAGATCAGGCCATGAGATCATGTCTCGTGACCATATGGTCGTGAGAAGACTTGGACTTCAACAAGAGAAATGTACCTAGGCTGTTGAGGGAGCAACTTTCAATCATCCGATATTTGAAGACACGTCAACCACGTTCAATAAAGATGAGAGAAATTCTTTGTAGCAGTTATAAGGTAAACTGTTCTCCAAGGCATTTACCATTACATGCCTATAATAAAGAGATGGGGTCGCCTTAGACAATGATTCCCAAAATCATAAAACCGATGCTTACATCAAATTTTATCATTTTCTCTGCAAGTATCCATATTCATAGTTTGGAGCTCTTAGTGAAACTCTATATGAGTGTAAGTAATTTAATGCAGTATTATACAAAAAAAAAAAACATTAATCAAACACCCCTTGTTTGAACTGTGTTTAAATAGGTGTAAATCGTGTCTTAGAATCGATGTCCAAAGAAGTCAAGACACACTTAATTCAACTCAACACGGGTTTGGAAAAAAATTGGCACGCCTAGTGGGACCATGTGTTGACTTGATTACTCCACAACATAGGCAACAAAAGGACAATCTTCTACAAGTCTTTGTGGAGGAGGATCAAGTGACTAGCTTCAAAGTCGGCCAAATGGATGTTGTGCCGAAAACAATGGTGGGATGGGGGCTCTGCCGAAATTGATGACAAGTCTAGATGAAGGAAAGATAGTCACATCACTCCATCGATCCATGAAGGAGGTTGTTGTTGAACTTAATCAAGGTACCTAACATGTAAACCTCCATTTTACTTCGCTCATTGAATGCCAAGATTCACTTATTTCTTTGATGGATAAGCGTGTATATAAGTGTCGAAGGTTAGGTTGCTAAGACCCAATTTGTTAGCACGGTGCGAACACTAGTTTCGCCAATAAGAATATTTCATTTTGACAAATTTTTTATTCCATAGGATCGACCACTTATGTGAAGTTTATAAATCGATGCTCACTCACTCTAACACTAGCAATGACAAGCTTACAAACATGAGACTTGTAGTAAAGTGACTTCAGTCATACTCCAAGAGAACTTAGATGTATTATTACTTCTCTCAAAACTACTACTCAATCTAGCGGAAAGGTTGGTTACAAACTAACTAACCTAACTAAGAAAAATAACCAACTAAGTAGTTGGGAGGTCGGTAGAGATTAGCCTGTTTCCTAGGATTGAATCCTTCTAGTAGTATGATAGGTAGTTGATTTGTGGAAGCCCTAGTCCGACTTGCCTATCTTTATGTTGTGAGTAGTCGTCTAATCTCGTGGTTGATGCGATGGTTATGACTCACAACCACACTTCGAAGCCCTTGACTAGATCAATGGTCATGCACCTAGCTAGGTACATGGAGCTTTAGGGTTAGACTCTAAATAAAAAATTATCCCTATGCAAATGGAACTTCGACCCCTCGGTCACACAATCCAAATCCCACAATATTTGATGGGTGTTCTAGCCTAACTTAGGGGGATGGCCACCTCAACCTAAGTCAAGAACCATTCAATAGCCACCTCTACTGAAGCATGAAAATAACATGATTAAACATCAAATAAACATAGATAGATAAGAATCAAGGCTAGGTTTACATTCAATCAATAATACCTAGCTACATACTACAATTCATCTCCCCCAAGTAATCATAGGGTTTCAATTCATAGAGAGAAAGGAAATACAAACTATAGAGAGAGGACAAGCTTGAAGTCATCTTCTTCACCTTAGATTGCACCCTTCTCCTTGGTTCTTGGATATATTGTTCCTTCGTTAGCTCCTCCAACGCGCTTTATCTCACTAAAAACTACCCAAAACCACTTTACTTACTCTAGGTTGGCTCTCCCTCTTCATTTGAAGAAAATGGTCTATTTATGGAGGTTGTGGTGCACATCACGGCCTCAGGGCATGACCCGCACTTGACAAAACGACATGCATGAAGTCGCGACCGTGATCTTACTCGCAGTTGGGGTCCTCCTTGGTCGTCAGTCTAGGCATGCAACTTTTTGTCCATTTCTATGTTGGAAGGTGCATCACGGCCTGGAGGTCACAACCATGACCTGTGTAATTTCTCCCTTCCTTGCTCATATGCGATGCAAACATGCTCAGATTCTCCCGAAAATATACCCTCAATTGATCATAGATGAGTTTAAGACCTAGAATATCATCACAAACACAAAGCAATCATAAAATACAACGAAGTGGAGGTAATTTAGCCACGAAAACCCTTCATTGCAACCTAACTCATGATCAATGTATAGAAACGCATATTGGCATAAACTAGCTTGCAATGTGGCCGAGCCACGCTGATTTAGCACAAAAATTCCTAGATAATAGAGATTAATAACACCGATTTAGGTGTTATCGGTGTTATCAAATGTCCCTACACTTTAGCTTTTGCTTGTCCAGCCAAGCATACAAATAAACCATGCAATCCGAGGCATCTAAATCCCGTCCACACTTGATATGAATCATCGAATGTGGAACACAAATGACTAGGGGGGTCTTGACCATCTATAGTCACATTTAACCTACTCGAACATCCTTGAAAGAATTGATCGAGTGAAAAGGGGTAGGCGCAAGATATAAATCAAGACTCCTAGTTGTAGGTAAGAAGGGTGAATGCTCTTGACGATTCTATTCTACACTTTCATCACAACCGCCTTTTTGGTTTTTCTTTCTTTGGGAGTGTAGCATCTTGATTATTTTTTCGGTTTCAAACCAATCAAGTAGGGGAGTCATTTTTTGCGCTCTTTCCCCCTACCTATACCTCGGCACATGGAGGACCACACCATGAGGATTGACTGACCTTCAAGCACTAGCAATCTGAAACTAAGTGGGGTCCCATGTGAATCACCCTCTAATTGGCATGCATAGGAGTAGTTGTTTTTGCATTACTACTACTAAGGATTCTTTGAAAACATCTGAAAGATGCCTCACATGTAAACCTTTGAAGAACAAGCTAAAAACCACTTTGTTTTGCGTAAAAATTTGGTTGCGAGAAAGCACGTAACCGAGCATCATCCAATCGACCTACAACTAAGAATCAAGCTTCACATTCAAACAAACCTACCACACATTCACGAGTGAAAATCCAACATAAGGAAACATCAAGAAGTCAAATTAACTACTTCAATTCGAAACTCCCCACGTACTACACTCTCCTCTACATTGGTTGAGATCGTAGGAAAGCAAGATTCATGATTCAAAGAAATTAATCGTATTGTAGCCAACTTGGAGCCTCAAATTTTTTTTGGGGGGGGGGGGGGGGGGGGGGGGGGGGATGAACATGCATACAAGACTCCAAATGGTCAAATCATGCTAAAACACCATCCACAATCACTCAAAAAGCACGCTTTCTCCCTCAATCATTCATAACACAAGAGAGAAAATTTGATACATTCGAGACAAATATTCATGCAACACCCCCTCCCTCCACACACACTTTTAAGAACCACATTGTCCTCAATGTGACCACAAGTGAAGGATAGCGGAACTATGTTACCGAAATGACTATGTCAAGTTTTTTTTTACATCATAGTCAGATAAAATAGTAGACATATATATATTTATAATGAGTAAAAAATGAACAAGGGATTGGTCTAGTGGTAATACTACTAGCCTTGAACCTGGAGGTCCCAGGTTCGAATCCTTTCAGTAGTATCTAATTACAAAAAAATAACCTATAACAACCTTTTCTTAAAAAAAAAAAAAGACAGTCAATACTAATCGACCTGTCGGTAAAATAGCCGTTTAAGCCACTAAATGACTATGTCAAGTTGATTGTGGTAGATTTGAAGACTTGAACGACATGACTACCCAGAGATGAATGATGGAATGTATCTTGCTTCGATCTCCAATATCCCAGAAAATTCCAGTTCTTGATATTCAAATTCAAAATCTTTCTATATGCCTATTACCCACTTACAGCCCCCAATCTAAGGGCAATTTGTACCCTAAAACTAGATAGATACAACATAAATTCATGGACCTGTTGCCTGAAGTTACTAATACATATTAAGAAGACCAATTGCTAACTCAAAGAATACAATGTTCGTATGCGGATAGGGTTAATCTTGAACCACAAGTGCTGTAAATCGTAAGCATGAGGTAACTTTTAAGCATACACCAGCTCCTCTTCTCTAGTCTCGTACGGTGGTGGGAGGATACCTTCGACATTAGCAAAAAGATCTTCACGGCCCATCGGTGCTTCAGTAATAGTGGAATCCAGGACTCGGTCAGGAATTGCTACAAGGGCTTCCTCGAAAAAGGATTTAACTGTCTGCAAAGTTTTCAAATGCGTGACCATTAAATGCAACAAACACAGATACACAAAGCCAGAGAACATACGGCTTGGAAAATATTCATCTATTAAGGTTAGGCCAGCAGCCGTTTCATTTCATCTAAATCTAAGCTGAGAAAAACCATTTAGCGTGGTTGGGACACTTGATAGATGCAATAAATAGATGCAGAAGGAAGCTGGTCCATGGAACACTCTTCTCTGTTCCCACAACACCAATGCATTTGTAAACCAAGTTGACTCCCCACCATCAAGCCAATTATCGTATTCATCTAGTTGTATGCCTAAGCTGTAGTTTTCGATATGGTAAGCAGAGATGATTACGAGGAAGCCCAAAACACAAGATGAAGCTCAAACTATATCATCCTACCGATATCAGATAGTGAGACACAATCAGCAATATGCTAAATCATCCAGTAAATCTCAAGCCAGGGAATTATGATTACTGGTTCCTAGTTACTCATACCCAAGTAGAATTGTAAGTATCAAAATACCTTGCAGCGCAGGAATGCAGCATCAGCTTTGCGTTTCCAGAGGCTGTTCCCAGGCTCAAAATAAAAGAATCCAAGTATTGGCTGCACCACATTTTGAATATATTAGCATGGAGGACCAGAGAGAATATGTTCATGCGGAGAGCATAAAACAAGAAACTAAATTAGATACAAGAATGGTGATCCAGATTGAAGGGTTCAAACAGGAACAATGTATATTATTCTATAATCTTTTGGTACTTAATAACAACAATAGAATAAATTTGGTGCTAAGCAGTAACCCAAACGAGTGCTTTACCTTTATCACATCACGTACATTGGGCCTATCATTTCCATAGGTCCCAAGAATAGCATCACCATACACTTGATACTTCTCCAGGATCTAGAAAAAACCAATTTAAATTAAGTTTATCATTAGAATATACCCAAGCAGATACATGAAGAGGAACGAAGATAAGGGATTGCACCTGACGACGAGTGAGACCACTTGCTGGTGCCCCATAAATTGCAGTATCAACATGTCCCAGAACATTCCAAGGACTGCGGGAACATAATAGGTTTCAACCTAAGCATTAGCTTACACAAATACTAAGCCATGTGGACAGAAAAAACAGAAACTAGAAGGCCAGAGAAGGTAGAAAAGCTTAGTTGAGAGGACTAGGAACTCGGATTCACTTCATACTAATAGCTTCAAGACATGCTTTCTCTTAAGTGCCATAGAAGCACTATAAGGTTGCCATCCCTTGCAAACAAAATCTCCTTTTTACCTCTTCTGAAGTAACCTCAAGGATACGGTCCAAATTATTATAAAAAGAAATAGAAACCTCCGAAATTTTACAGTTCTCTGCATATCTGTATGCTTGCCCACAAAATCCTGTTCCCCATCCCTAAACAAGGTCATACTTTTCAATAGAGGTTGCTGGGAAATGAGTCACATTTCACCTTCTCCTGATAAAATATATAATAATAATAATAATGACACTTCACCAACCTAAACATGTGAGCATGACCCAAGTCATTAAAAAGACAAATCTATCTGATGTCAATTAGCTTCACATATATAAGTGCACCACTAAGAAGTAACCGATGTAGCTAACAACATCAAACTAAAAATCATACTTGTGATAAGCAGCACGCCCAACCATTACACCATGTGCTCCTGCCTTCAGTGCTGCATTTGCCTATCAGATAGGAATGATAGATAATACCCATCAGGAACCCCAATAATGAATGTCACTGGCAGTTCTCGGCAAGCACTTCAACAGCAAGCTAAGAACATTTTCCAAGTATAAATACAGATAACACAAACAAATAGGTATATTCACACCCTTAACAAAACTAACCTCATCAACACAGTTAATGCCTCCATTAATTGTGAATTTCAAGTCAGGAAAATCGCGCAAAAGAGCGAAATAGTACTCATATCTGCACCAATAGACAGTAATCATCAATTCTGATGGCACACATAAAGTTGTCTCGCAATCATGCTAAAGTCATGATCAGTACGGTGTTCTTTTCACTCAATGTTTTGTCCAATGGTGATTTTTCATTGAGTTGCATCAGTAATATATTGGTTTCGTGCTCATATGTATCATATACAGAACTCAGCAGGGAAACTTAAGTTACAAAGACCATACTTCAGTGGAGGAATTTTTCTATTGTCAGCAGGGCTGATCCCATTGAGTAAAGCCTTCCGTGAATGTATTATAAAATGCCTAGTGGGAGACAGAGCTGAAACTTTATATATAAAATCACCTGGAATGAAAATTAAGCAACACAGCGAACAGCTCATCAGTCCAAGAAGATAAAATCAACAAACATGAGGTTCTTGACATAGGAACTAAGTTTAACACAAGCTCATGAACTTACAAAGCTCATTGTACGAATCATGATCATCTACACCAATTCTGCATTTAACACTGACAGGGACGTCAGTATTGGCAGCAATTACCGACATAGCCTCGCCAACAAACTTCCCTTATGAACACGAAAGTTACAGTCAGAAAATTGAGATAAGTAAAAATTTCTTGTAAACTCTGACAAGGAAGACAAGATTGTGGAAGATGCATACAGAAGAATGTGTCTTATGGTATTATAAGAGGAACCAGTAAGAATAATCAAACCTTTGGATCAAGCATAAGACGGACTCCAAAACACCCATGTCCAGCAACCCTTGGACTAGGACAACCACAACTGTACATTGATAAATAAAAAAAAATTTGAATCAGTTCAAGTAGAAAAGGAAACTTCATTACGAAGATGCACAAGGAAACAGGATTCTGCATACTTGAAATTAATCTCGTCATAGTTATATGCATTAGCAAGTTTTGTTGCTTTTGCAATGTTATCCAAATTATTTCCTCCAATCTGAAGTACAATGGGATGCTGCTCAGGTGGGAAAGCCAAAAATCTGTCCTGAACAACATAAGCAGAAACAGCGAGAATAAGCAACATTCAACCAAAGCATACCATTACAGAACATCTCATCAGTGAATGAGTAACACTGACTCTGTTTAGCAAACATGCGATGGGGAGTTTGAACCTAAAACATAGCTACGTTTGTGTTCATTTAGAGCAAAAAAAACTTAAATTTGTCTCAAAAGCTAAAAGTTATTAAGTTCCTAGGCATCATTAAAGGAAAGCACATTCTTTTTTTCCCAATTGCATTGATAAAAAAAATTCCCTTGGACAACAATTCACCTACATACCAGATTTGCCTCTTGGTAGACAATTGTTTCGGCTGCCAGCATCTCTGTATAAAGCCATGCATGTTTTGATATGAGCCTAGCAAGAGTCCTGTAATGGACGTCTGTCCACTCCATCATTGGTGCAACACTAAACCCAAGAAATTGACCTTGTTCAGTAAGAGAGGATACAGTGGACCAAGGAGTTGAATACTTTTAAGTGTATACCCACCTAAAAAGAGGAGGAGGATATTTTGCAACAACCATCTCAGCCTTGCAATGATTTTGTTGCTTCTGATTATATGTGGACAGTCTTCTAATCTTCGATGCAGTCTTGAAATTTATATCTAGAGGTAATCTGCGAGGTTTTTTGAGAGGAATACAATGAAATGGAGTAAATGAAGATATCAAAGTATAACCCGAAAACTTCATCGCCTCTCAAGTCAGACAATGCCTGCTCCTTTAGGTACCTATGCATTGAATAAGACTGCATCATACATAAGATCGTAGACAAACTACATGACTTGGACTAGCACAACTAGCAATGGCCAATTCAATGATCTTGTATCTTCTCCCCAATCACTCAATTGCGGCAAAGGAAAGACATTTCATCTATTTTCTCCTGAGCTAACGGCAATGGGCAACCATCAACTCAACTCGTAAGTTACTCCACAACTTAAAAAGGCTCAAGTCAAAATCGTTTACCCAACAGTGATCCAGCACTGGGGAGTGGGGATCTCTTTTTCAAAAGACACAAACGATGTAAGAAATTGCTCGTAAACCAAGGAGAAAGGAGACCCGAAGGCAGTTCTGAACTTAAAAACTGCAAGCGGATGAGAACAACACAGCTTGACTGGCATTCAATCGAACAAAAAGCAAGCACAAAGCTTTCATGAGTTATCACAAAGTATCAGAGCTTTACAGCGACTAGGAGGAGAGGCTGGGAGAGAGATAGACCTAAAAGAGAGCTATCTTTCACGGCGACCCTTCCCTTCCTCGGAAATTGAGGGAGCTTCCACCGGGAAGAGAATTGAAAGCTGCGTGAAACGAAACCTCTCCCACGAATCCTTTGCCTAGTCGATTTTATCCGCGCAAAGAGAATTCATAGGGAGCGGCAGAAACCGCAAGTGTTGGACTGGCCTCCGAATGGAAACTAAATCCCGGACCCCGGTCCAAGCCCATTACCATTAGCATGTAATGTCTTTTTTTAGGAAGACGGACGCGAGGGCGTCCTAAATCGTATTAACAATAGAACGATCCATGGAGATTGTCATGGAATCATACAAGAGCCAGTTATACAAAGTTGGGTTGTACACATTAAAAGGATGTTTACCAAAAGTGGCCTCGTGGCCTTTGCTTGCCAAATAATTGGCAGCAAAAGTCCCCTCCCTATAAACATGGGATACAGAAACATCCCAATCCAAATCAAAAAACTTTCCGATCCGAACAGCAATAAGACTGTGGCGATGGTCTTGGTCCAGGTGGTTCTTCATGATGGTGACGGCTGTAGATGAATCCAACTTGAGTTCCACCCTTGCGGAATCCCATCTCCCACGCTCGATGAAGGCCAATCTCAGCTCCCTTCAGCTCAACCATGGTGATTGTGCAGTGTCCAAGGTTGCACACAAAGTCCTCCGGGCTGTGCCCAAGGTTGTCGCGAATTAACCCCCCTACAACAACATTGCCTGACTCGGATCGGACCGACCCATCAGTCTGGATTTGCATCCAACCCTCACGAGGGTATGCTCAGTATGCTCATTTTGTCATTGATTCTTGCTTGTTCATACACACGAACCCACGAGCAGATTATGCTAATGAGGATGGCTTCATAGTATCTTTTTCCATCCATCACCTCTTCGTTTCTCTACTTCCAGATCAGCCAGCAAGCAATGCCAAATCTGAAACCCCCCCCCCCCCCATTCTCTTCTCTGAGATTGTCCATCATCCATTGATTGAAGTTCCTCAATCCTGTGGCTGATGGTCAATCTTCAGGAATCGCCTTACTCCTTCTGTCTTCCTGCAATGTCCGAGAATATGTTCAGTAGTTTCAATCTCACCATCACAAGCTTTGCAGTTTGCGTCCGATGTCATGTTTCTGGTTGCTCTTTCATGGTTGGTGAGAAGCCTGTTGTGCAGAATGAGCCAGAGGAAATGTTTCACTCTGCTTGGTCCCTTCCATTTCCAGAGCTCTTTCCATCCCAGTTCAGGATCGTTCCCAGTCTCATCGGCAGCGAGGAGGTAGCCTGACTTGAACCTGAACTTGCCATCCCTTTCCAGTCCCCAAATCGCCGTGTCCTCTCCCAAATCTCGAGCTAGTGTCTCCATTCCTGCAATATAGCAAAGGATATCATTAGGAAAGAAAGATTCGAGGCGTCTCCAGTCCCACTCACCTTTGTCATCAACCATTTCAGCCACAGTCATTGATGCTCCTCCTCTGTCAACGCTCTCGGGCAGTGTTCTCCCAAGACAGTTTCATGATCGATCCAAAGATGATTCCAGAAATCGGTTGTTCTGCCATCTCTAATGCTCCACACTGTGGCTTGTTGCATCAGTGGGAATGCTTTATGAATGCCCCTCCATAAACTGGAGTGATTGCTGCTCTTCATTCCCATAATCCTCCCTTTCCGTTGTTGGAAATACTTCCGCTGCATCACTCTCACCCATAGCTCATCCTTGTTGTTGAGGATCCTCCATGCCAGTTTCACCATGCAGGCAGGGTTGAGGCTTTGAGCTGACCACAAACCAAGCTCTCCTTGCTGTTTTGGTCTACAAACCTTTTCCCAGGAAACCAGATGGACCTTCCTCTTTCCTTCCTGTGATCCCCAAACAAACCATCGAATCCTGCGATCAATCTCATCACAGATAGAAGCAGGTAACATGGTCGTTTGCATAGCATAGGTTGGGAGCGCATTTAAAACAGATAAAGCAAGAGTAACTCTCCCATCGAGGGAGAGGGTCTTAGCCTTCCACATGGTCGTTTGTAACTATTTGTCTAGCTTTTAGAGACGGAGGGATAAGGGCATAAGGCAAAAAAGTAAAAAATAAAAACACGATGGGAAATATGCCGCATCTCTACGATCTTCAATTTTCCAATTTTGTAGCTGCTGTCGAGGATTATGGGTTCCAGACAATCATGATTCGTGAGTGTCCCTCGTGTAGAGGGCCCGGATAGGGTGAGTAAACTGTGCTTAATATTAGTAACCAAGTAGTTTGCAAATAAGAGTTGGCAGTCCAAGACATTTTATTGGGTTAATATCTTATTTAACTCGAATTATACTCTAATAGTCTACTTTGGCCCATGATTTAGGGATGACAATGGATCGGGTTGGGTCGGGTTTTGTCAAACCCAAACCCAAATCCATGGGTTTATCTGTGAAAAAAATCCGGGGTAAAACCCACTGGATTTGAAAAACTCAAACCCAACCCGCCGGGTATCCGCGGGTTGATGGGTACCCATGGGTTTTTGTCGTAAAAAATTTACAGTAACAAGTTTCTATAAATAAAAAAAGTCAAATATCAATATTTCAATACAAATTATCCATATACAAAACACCATTCTAAAACATTCAAACAAATCACAAATTAACCATACAAATTGTTCAACATCAATCTAGAAAACTCAAGAAAATTTAAGCAAATCACAAATTATTCATAAACAACATGATTAATTGAAATCTTCTTCCTCCTTGTCAATTAAGTTTCTTCACTCTCCACTCGATAATATCAACTCTACACAATTAGAAAAAAAAAATTAGACATGTCTTCACAAACATAAAGAAGATTAGTTGTTAAAATATTAAATATACGGGAAAAATTAGTTATATGGGTGTGGGCGGGTACCCATGGGACGGGTTTACCTAAACTCAAATCCAACCCAACCCGGTGAATAGTAAACGGATTTAAACCCGAATCCGGCCCAAAACCCATCAACACGGGTTGGGACGGGTAGGATACCCGTGGGTTCGGGTTTTGTTGTCATCTCTACAATGATTTTAGAAATTGCTATTCTGGTCTCAACTATATACCATATAGTCTAGTTTGGTCTGATACGTGGGTTGACCATTAAGTTGGATGGTCAACAACATTGACTAACGGTCAATGAAACATGTCATTGCCTCGTCAGCCCAAAAATTATTAAAAAATTCGAATTCAAATTATATTTTGTAATTTTTGGACTTATTACGTTTAACAAAAATAATCCATAAAAAATAACAAAAATAATCTACAAAATATATAAAGGCAAAACATGGGTTGGAATTCTCCCATTTCAAATTTCGTGGCCTGAGAGTGATTCTAGAAAGGTCATTTTTGTCATTGCACTTGGTTCATGTTTATATATTAAAAATGTTATCATTGGAGTTCAAACCTTGGTCACTTAAATGGAGAAAAAGCATTATATTTATAACCAACTAAATTACATTTTATTTATTGTTATTTCTTTGATTAAACTCTAGAAATATGTTTGGTGATGATGCTTCTATATTTATATTTTATCTTAAGTTATTTATATTTCTACATAATATATAAAGGCAAGACATGAGTTGAAATTTCAGGGATTAGGATTTCTAGGCCCGTGAGAGTTTCACGGAAGGGTAATTTGGACAATTTACCTGTCATTTTAATGAAACTTTGTGTTTTGATCTCTTCCCAGACTTAGTATATTTCGTGACATCCCTCTCCCCACGTAGCTTTCCTTCTCATGTCCAACTCGTTGGTTTAGATCTCACGATCAACGTAATCTAGCAGACTTGCGGCGAACGTGGTCTAGATCTCACGACCAACGAGGTCTACCAAACTCCACACAACAATGTCCACTTGTGACCCTCATGGTCTGATTTCGCGGCCAAAGCCTTCTTGATCTCAAACCAGCGTGGTCTAATGAACTCACGACGAACGTGGTCTAGCAGACTTAGCTTCCTCACGATGAAAATAGTACCCTCTTAGAAATTTTGCCATTTGGGTTTAAAATCTTGTAACACAAGGCCCAGTTTAAATATAATTAATTGTTATAATTGATCTGGTCTTATAAAGACAATAAATGTCTTGTGAATAATTAATGTGATACAAAATTATTTTTTTAGCGGTAAACAGTTGCTCATGAGGCCGATCTCAGTCTATGGCTTTACTCACTTCTATGACTTTTTCAGTAACTTCAAAAGCTGGACAATGAACATATGTATTTGGAGGGACAGATGTGCTGCAATATTCGGCAACCAAGTAAAGGGAATGGCAGAAGTGGTTTAGCACGTCAAAAAAGATGTTGAGTTTATCTGTAATAGCAATGAGACTTATATGTTTTCTAAGTTCTCAAATTACTGTACTTGTGCATGGCTTAGTATGCAGTTTGTAATCACTATAGATATATTATCATAGTTTACTTAGTGACAAGGGGTGTTTGCCATATTAACTGTTGTTTTTTTATGAAATATGATTCAACAATTCATTAAAAGAAAGCAAGCCACAAGACTTAAAAACTTTAACTGAGCTGACAAAGAGTAGCTCAAGTGTTTAATGAATAAGATTTGGCACTGTATACTTATTGCCCACTATTTTGAAAAATAACATCCAAAATAAGATTCATTGTACATTGAGTATGAAAATGCATATAATTGGATAAAACTAAAAAGTTATATTTTCTTACCCTAACTTGGCTACCCACTTAGAAAGACAATAATGTATCAAATTAACCAATAATCATATATATCACATCTGTAAAAAATAATAATAATAATAATAGGCTTTTATATTATTTTGAATAAAGACATTGTAGATTCTTGGTTTTTAGTGAATTTTCACTAAAATAATTGAATGGAACTAATGTTAATGTCCATCCATTATTTGTCTTTTTATTTTTTTGTCATAAATATAATTGCAGATAAGTTGGATAATAACGAAGTACCACGAACACTACGGTACATTGGCTTACTAAAAACGCGACAAGTTATATGAAATCGTAAAGATCATTATGTAGACCATGATAACGTAGGGCACGACGTGCAACTAAATGGGTAGCCCAAGTTGCTTCTCGTGGTGTAAAAGCGAAATGAACTAATGATAATTGGCGTAGAAGAGTGTGCAACTCCCGCAAGATCGCTCCTCCTTTAGCATCATAAGTCGCATCAGACACCAACTGCAATAGCACCATATGAGCATCACCTGTGATCTGAATTTACTGGCTTATATTTTATCCCTTATTTCAAATGAATAAATCATCATGATAGTAATAATTAGATTTGAAATAGAAAGTTAAGATAAATCATCAAAATTACTAGCAAGAGGTCAATTGATAAATTAAATATTCATATTCTTATTGTTTAGTATATTACTAAGGCAATAAAAATATTTAACCTTCTTAATATTAATAGTATACGAAAGTAAAATTGTTAAAATTTGCTTTTATCCGGCCAACGGTCAAGACGATTAGTTAATAGTAGAGTATGATCACCTTCTTTTTTAGGGGATCACATCAAGTAGTTTCTATTTTCTTTTTAATTATTCTGTTTTTTAATTGGACGTTAGCAATTGATAATATCGAGTTTGCCTTTTTTACTCGCTTTCAACTATCTAGATTATTCTAACGGCTACAATGAGTTTAAACTATGATTGAAAAGTCAATGATAGGGTCTTTTATGTTGAAATCGTGGTTTAGTCATAGTTCAACCATTTCATACCGTTAAATGCCGCTTACTAGTTTAGCCTACGATAAGAGGTTTTTCTGGTCGAACCGCCGGTGCAGTACGATTTTTCATTCCTTTGTTTAAACATAAAGAAAAAACGGGTTGTATCCATGGTTCACTCCAGCCATTCAAAGAGGTTAAATCAAATTAGGGATGACAAGAAATCGGCTCGCCTTCAGATAGTCTATATCCATTCCTACTCGAAAATAGTTTGGGTTTTACATATACCTATACCCATACAATAATCTAGTAGAATATCATAATCATGCATGCCCATACCCCGTTGAATTTTGAGATCCACAATTATTCATGAATAATAATGTTTCTTTTATAATTTCAACCAACATGTTATCAAGTACATGTATACTGATAGTACATAAGTGAAAATATACAAGAATTAATTATTAGAACGATGAAAATTAGTTAAAAACCATACAATTCCATGAAAATCTTAAAAATGCAGGTTAAATCTCCAATATCAATATATTGAGAAAAGTAAAGATCATTTACAAATAAAATACATATGCAATTGAGCGAGTTCGGGTTTGAGTTGGATAATGAAGAACCATGCATATCATCTACAATATTCGGGTTCGAATTTTATTCGCGTCTTACTCACCGTTCCCGATTATGTAGAATTGAAATGGGTATTTACGAATATGGTTATTTTTGTCAAAAGCGAAATTGTAACAAATTAGACTGGTGTTTTAATTGTTTAAGAAATAAAATTTTGAGGCCTAAAATGACATGTATATGCAAATCTGGTGATCAAATTGGTACCTGGCCGTTCGAGTGGTGGTCATGTAAGGACCAAACTTACCACACTTATCAACTTCGTTTCGCTTCCGCCCTGGGAGCTTCTTTGCCAATTCGCCATGGCCACTCTGAGCTTCAACCCCACCAGAATTCCTCGAACCCCCAAAACCAAAACAGCCTCTTTTCGGAAACCAACTTCCAGAGTGTCCTTCTCCGTCCAGCCAAATGCCTCAAGCGGCCGAAAACTTGCCCACGGGTTCCCCAAGCTCCGGGTTTCGACGCAGGAGGAAGCAGGGGTGGAGGAGTACGAGGAAGACGACCCGACCGTGGAGATGAGCTACCTGGACCCGGAAACCGACCCGGAGAGCATCTTGGAGTGGGAGCTGGATTTCTGTTCAAGGCCGATGCTGGACATCCGAGGGAAGAAAGTGTGGGAGCTGGTCGTGTGTGACGAGTCCTTGGCGCTGCAGTTCACCAAGTACTTCCCCAATAATGCGATCAACAGCATCACCCTGAGAGACGCTCTTGGTTCCATCTCTGAGGATCTGGGTGTCCCTTTGCCCCAGAAGATACGCTTCTTCAGGTGATTCGTAGGGTTTTTACATCCAATGTTCTTGCGGTGTCGGTTGATTGGTCTTTTTTTTTTTTTCTATATAATTTTTCTGGAGATACTCATTTCAGGTCGCAGATGCAGACTATCATAACAAAGGCGTGCCGAGAGCTGGGGATAAAGCCTATTCCGAGCAAACGGGTACGTGCTTCCTCAAGCCAAGCATCTTTAAACCATAGAGCCCTTTCCATTTCCCGGTTCTTTGTCTGTTTTTGTTGTGCATTGTTGATGTGCTCTGTGATCCTAGTTGAGACAGATCTATCAAGACAATTGTTTTAATCAATCCACAAGGTTCATCTCAGAGACGATGACAAAAGCATTGCTTGACTCAACTGTGTTGAGACTGAAACCATGTCCATGTTGAATCACTACTTTAGGAGTTCCTCACTCTTCCCTTTCATGGCTACCTTCATTGTGCAGTGTCTATCACTACAGCTGTGGCTGGGAGAACGATACGAGACGGTATACAAACGCCACCCTGGGTTTCAGAAGGGATCCAAACCCCTCCTTGCATTAGACAATCCATTCCCAATAGACCTCCCAGAGAATCTCTACGGAGATAAGTGGGCTTTCGTCCAGTTACCATTTTCAGGTACACACAGCAGCCGAGCAGCTGCATTTCCAAGGTTTCCTTTTGCCACAGTGATCCGTTTGCTAAATCTCTCTGTGCTCCACAGCTATCCGAGAAGAAATCGCATCAATGGATACAAGATTTATGTTCGGTTCGAGTCTAGATCTGGATCTCCTTGGCATTGCAGTGGATGACGAAACACTAATTCCAGGGCTGTCTGTTGCTTCATCACGAGCCAAACCATTGGCAGGTAGGTGGTCTTTCACTATGATGTTGCTACCAACAGTGGATCCAGATTGCCTTCCCCTGCCTGCAGTAATTACTTGCTCTTTGGAGTGACGTGTCTTCCCCACTCTTGCAGCTTGGATGAATGGACTGGAAGTTTGCGCAGTCGAATCGGACACAAGCAAAGGCTGCTTGATCCTCTCTGTTGGAGTCTCCACTCGCTACATCTACGCCACCTACAACAAAAGTCCTGTGACAACAGCTGAAGCTGAATCGTGGGAGGCTGCAAAAAAGACGTGCGGAGGTCTCCATTTCCTTGCTGTACAAGAAGACTTGGATTCAGATGACTGTGTCGGATTCTGGCTGTTGTTAGACTTGCCACCACCACCTGTCTGATTTTGCAGCCTTCAGATCCTGACTTCTGTTTCTCAAAATGCCACAATCTCAATATTTTCTGAATAGCTATTCGTCGCCCTAAAATTCAAATTTTATAGCCCTAAAATGTATCAAATTGACATATTTATCCTCAATCCAATTGCAATTCAACCGTCTCCGCCACGTTGTTGAAGCAGCAGCGACGGGCCAGCATGATTGCAGAAGCAACGACGGCGGTGATGCGGGAGGCGGATTTGTGAATGTAATTCCCATTTTTGGTATGATTAGTTATTACTCTTCATTTGTTCTATGGATGATAACAATGGAGGTGGGTGGCATAATAGCAGGGCGACAGAGGCCAGTTTGAGGTGAGTGGCTTGATTCCTTCTTCCGACTGAAGCTTCGCCAGATTCTTCTCCCTCCTCAAGCGGCAGCAAAGTCGGCAGCTGGGGTCTAGTTTGGCTTGGGGATTGCGAGGTTTAGGTTTCCCCCTGCTCGTTTTTGTTTTGTTCGGTTTGCGATTTAAGTGTTTGAAAGACAAATAAATAAACTAAGGACATTAAAGTAAATTTAATTTAATTTAATTTAATTAGGGCGACGAATAAGGAATTTTAGGGCGACGAATAGCAATCCCAATATTTTTGGGGGTTAATTGCATGATTGGTCACTGAAATTACAAAAAACCAAAAAACGTTTAACTTTGGTCACTCGAAATATTTAAATCCATTGGTGATACTTCACTTTACAAAAACCGTTTACGTTTGGTCACTCTCCGTTAGCTGCCGTCCATCTTTGTTAACGAAGTCCGTTAAGTGATGAAGTGGTGGGCGGAATCGTCTAATCAGCACTATTTAACCCGAAAATAGTCTGGCTCGACCCGCCACGTCATTGAAACCCGCCAGCTCATCTAAACCGACCCAACCCTCTAACCAAACTATACCGACCCACCAAGATTAAATCCCTACCCTTCTCCATCCCGCTCCGCCTTCCTCACTCCCGTTTTTCTTCCTCTCCACATCTGAGAATCGATCAAGCACTCAATTGAAAAGTGAAGCACAAGTAGAAGCAGCACCAAATAGAGCAAGTACTTTGAATTCCTATATATAGACACGACACACATGGAAGAGGCAACCATGGTGAACAAGGAGGAAATGCTGGATTTGCCACAAGGATTTCGCTTCCACCCCACCGACGAAGAGATCATCACCCACTACCTCACCGAGAAGGTCAAGGACGACGCCTTCGCCGCAATCGCCGTGGGTGAACCCGACCTTAACAAGTCTGAGCCCTTGGACCCCCCCAGGAATTAACCCAACTCTTCTCCTTCTCCTTCTCCTCTCTATGAAAAAAAAAATGAATTATTAATTCTAAAAGGTTTCTGTCCGCTGACTGTTTAAGCAAGGCGAAGATCAATCTAGTTATGCTCCTAACATGCCATTTTGTTAGGAGATACTGACAGGGTAGGATAGATGGCCACGTCGCCAAGCCGCCATCCATCGGTGGAGGAGAAAACGCGCCAAACCCACTCCGGCTTGCGGGGCCCGCCGGGCCCACTAATTCAAAAACCCAAAAAATACCCTAAACCCTACCCCTTTTCACGTTCTTCCCCAAATCACTTTCCCCCTCTCTCTCTCTCCCCCCCCTTTCTCTCTCCCTTTCCTCTCCCTTTCTTCTTCTCCCGAACGCAGACGAAGCGCCGCGCGGTGTAGCGAACTCGGCGGCGACGACGATCTAGGCGGCGGCGGCGACCTTGCAGCGAAGGCGGAGATCTCGGCGACGGCGACCTTGCTGCGGAGTCGGAGATCTCGGCGGCGGCGGTGAAGCAGCGAAGTCGGAGATCTCGACGGCGGCAACCTTGCAGCGAACTCGGAGATCTCGACGGCGACGACTTTGCAGCAAACTCGGCGGCGGCAATCTCGGCGGCAGCGATCTTGTCGGCGGCGACGAAGCAGCGATCTCGGCGACGGCGGTTTGCAGGGAACTCGGGTTCTTGATCAAGTAAGTTTTCAAGCATAGTTTCGTGGATATTAGGTTTCGTTTGGACAGATTTGAGTTAGGGTTGCATGATTCGTTCTTTTGTTGATTTTATTTTTGGGTTTTGTGGAATGGCTTTCTGTTTGTGTCGATATTAGTTTTGTTCGAGCATGATATCAGTTGTTACTTTCCTGGATAGTTGTTTTATAGGATCTGGGTATTTGTCTTTGCAGGTGATTTATCAATGGCAAAGACTAAAACGAGCGGGAAGAGAGCTCCACCGACTTCACCCCCTCCTCCACCACCACCGCGACAACGATAGGAAGATGAGGAAAAAGATGATGCTGAAGTCGAAGCAGAAACAACTGCACAAGAAGATGCTGAAGTCGAAGCAGAAACAACTGCACAAGGAGCAGCTCTAGGTCAGGAAAAATCTGAGGTACAGATTTCAGACATTATATTATTTATTTTGCTTGGATTGTTTGTTTGATATATCTGGATATTGGTTTTGGCAAGCATGATATCAGTTGTAACTTGCTTGGATAGTTGTTTGATATATGTGGATATTTGTTTGACATTTCGGGATGTTTGTTTGATTTATCTGAATATTTGTTTGACATATCTGGATATTTTTTTGATTTATCTGGATATTTTTTTGACCAATCTAGATATTTGTTTGATATATCTGTATATTTGTTTGTGCATGGATTTATCAATGACAAGAAATAAAAGGACCGCGAAGAGAGCGCGACGGAATCCACCGCCATTGCGAGAGGAGGATGAGGAAGAAGATGCTGAAGTTGCTGCACAAGGAGCTGCACAAAGAAATAATATTCTAGGACAAGGCAAGCCGTGGTACAGATTTCGGTGCTATACCAAATCTCTGCTAGATGTTATTAATTACTGGAAGGAAGAGCCAAGGTACTATGAAGCATGCAAGAAAGAGTTGGAGAAGGCTGGATTTGGAGGGTTATTGGAGCTTCGATTGGCAAATTTTCCTAAGAAGTTGTTCGATACCTTGATGGCACAGTACGACTTGTTCACCAGTTCATTCATTTTCGGTGAAGGGGAGAACAAGAAGGTGCTTACAATCGAAGCTGAGGATGTTGCCCGTGTTTACGGCCTTCCTATTGGTGGAGCTGAGATTGATGTCGTTAGGTCTAACGACAAGATGCTTGATATGTTCATGGAGGAGCTCAATATCGAGTGTAATCGAAGTCGAAATGTCGAAGTCATGGATCTTAGAGAGGCAGCCTGTGGTGGTCCCGATGACGCACCGAAAAGGAGACCACCTGTTGCAGCCGCAGTGAAGCAGTTTTTGTTGCTGGCTATGGGTTCGATGCTCGTCCCAAAGATGTCACGACTTTGTGATCTCGATTATGCTGAGTACCTTGTAGGAAGGGTGGAAGACATTGCCACTTTTAATTGGAGTGGTTTTGTTGCCCGCAATCTGAAGTTTGAGTTGTCTCATGCTAAGGAAAACGAAGCTGAAGCTAGGCATTATGGTAGACAGCAATGGCCTCTCGGAGATATCCACTTCTTAATGGTAACTTCTCCTTTAACATTGTTGATATTGTTTATTTGATTTGCTTAGGATATTAGTTTTCTATGCCTTTGATGTTAGTATCGCTGCTTAGGATATTAGTTCGTTTTATTTCTGATATCTGTTTTCTTTGCCTTTGATATAAGTATCGCTGCTTAGGATATTAGTTCTTTTTATTTATGATATTTGTTTTCTTTGCCTTTGATATTAGTATCGCTGCTTAGGATATTAGTTCTTTTCATTCGTGATATCTGTTTTGTGTGCTAGTGATATTAATAATCGTGCATGGGATAATAGTTGTTTCATTTCTGATATTTGTTTTGAACTTTTTTTTATAGATCCATTTACTGGACTTCCTTAATGTGAGAGGGTTTGCCACAAAAACCATCCCTACCTGCAGCTATTGGTTCGACCCTAGGGTGGACAAGGTGTGCTTGAATATCCCCAAGGAAGCTGACAAATATCTTCTTGGTCTGATGCTGTTCTCAAGAGAAGAAGTCAAATCCCGCTTCCGTCCTGAACGTGTCAGGAGGGATTGGGAATCTGGATCAAGCAGCTTGACTTCTACTACTGAATGGTGGAAGGATGTTGACTTGGAAACCCTTGATGATGATGAGGTATGTATATATTCTCTCTGCAACTCAAAATAATGGGTTAGTGGCCATGGGTGTTTGTAGTGAACTAAATTTGTTTTCAATATATGTGTAGCTTAAGGCATTGGAGTCCATGACTGAAAAAATGATGGATGTATGGGAGTCAAGGCGGGATAGTGTTTGGAGAGTTGTCATTTTGCGCCATCAAGAAAGCAAATGATCTTGGCAAATTTTCTCTCTTTAATTGGATGTAGAGGTGGCAATTGGATCGGATTCGTGGATTCGCGGATTGGATTGGTGGATCCATGGATCAAATGGATTGGATCCAATGGATTGGTGGATTCATGGATTGGATCAAATGGATTGGTGGATTGATCCATGAATCCAAAATGACATCCAAGGCTTGGACCAAAATGTAAATTTCGAAAAGTTTAGGTACTAAAATGTCATAATGAAAAATTTTAGGTACCAAAATGTAATTTTCCAATGATATTTTTCGTATAAAAATATAAATTTTAGGTACCAAAATGTAAAATATAAAAAATATAGGTACCAAATTGTAATTTGCCATTTGGATCAAATGGATTGGATTTAAATGGATTGGATTAGGTGGATAATTTGGTGGATGGATTGGATTGGATTCATGGATTTGGATCATAATTGCCACCTCTAATTGGATGTAATGTGCTTGTTGGGATTTTATCTTTGCCATGTTGGAATGGCTTAAACATTCAGATTTCTGTTTCTTGTTGGGATTTTATCTTTGCCAAGTTGGAATGGCTTGAACATTCAGATATCTGTTTCTTGTTGGGATTTTATCTTTGCCATGTTGGAATGGCTTGAACATTCAGATTTCTGTTTATTGTTGGGATTTTATCTTTGCCATGTTGGAATGGCTTGAACAAATTGTAGATTCTGGATATTATTTCTTTTCATGATTGCATCGAACAGGTGCTGTATGTTTGGATATTACTCTGTGTTGTCAGGGTAATTGATGCAAATTATGTTTGGATATTGTTCTGTGCGGTCTGGATAACAGCTCCTTCATGATTGGATATTACTTTGTGATGTCTGGATATTACTCTAGCAGTTTGGATAATAATTTAGTGTGCCTGTACGTGTTTTTCCAGCGACCAAAACAAAGAAGGAAAAGGGGCAAAGTGGCGAAATCTTCTTCGACTTTGGTCTCTGTGACCAAAGCGAGGATGAAAAAGGAGGGAGACGGGAAAGGCAAGAACATTTGCAGCCGCTTCTACTCTCGGAGAATACGTGAGAAGACAGTGTTGTCTATTGTCGAGCCTGAGGTCGACATGCCTGTTGATAAGTCCACTACTGAGATGGAGGTGGAGTCAGAGTCAGTTGTCGCTACTGAGCTGGTTCGGGAGCCAGAATCAGTTGTCGAGCCTGAGGTCAGGATGCCTATTGTTAAGTCCACTACTGAGATGGAGGTGGAGTCAGAGTCAGTTGTCGCTACTGAGCTAGTTCGGGAGCCAGAGTCAGTTGTCGAGCCTGATGTCAGGATGCCTGTTGTTAAGTCCACTACTGAGATGGAGGTGGAGTCAGAGTCTGTTGTCGCTACTGAGCTGGTTCGGGAGCCAGAGTCAGTTGTCGAGCCTGAGGTCGACATGCCTGTTGTTAAGTCCACTACTGAGATGGAGGTGGAGTCAGAGTCAGTTGTTAGGACTGAGCTGGTTCGGGAGCCAGAGTCTGTTTGTGTCGAGTCTGAGGTGGAGGTCTCTGTTGTTAAGTCGGGGGAGCCAATCGAGCAGAGTATGGGTACATCTCCGACTATGGTAATATTTCTCTTACCATTAGCCTCTAGTATGAGTTTTTTGGATATTTGTTTCTTTATGAGTAGATACTGGCCATGTTTTGCAGATACCTGTCGAGTCAACTGCTGCTGCCCAGGAGAGTATCATAATGGTCCCGACTAAGGTTCTAACTCAAGGATTAGCAGGACCATCAGAGGAGGAGCTTATAGCAGCAGCATGTGAGCTGATGGATGATAGAGACCCGGATACGACATTCGCGAATGTGATGCAGATTGGTTTCCAAGCCACTGCTACCGCTGAAGAGAGTATCAAGACGTCTCTGACTACGGTAATATTTCTCTTACCAATAGCCTCTAGTATGGGATTGCTGGATATTAGTTTCTTTTTGTATGGATACTATCCTGGGCTGCCAGGATATTGTTTTCGTATTGAGTGGATACTATCCTGGGCGTTTATGATAATGGTTTCTTTTGTTATGGATACTAGCTTGGGCTTGCTGGATATTTGTTTCTATATGAGTAGATACTGGCCATGTTTTGCAGACACCTGTTGAGTCAACTGCTGCTGCCCAGGAGAGTATCACAATGGTCCCGACTGAGGTTCTAACTCAAGGATTAGCAGGACCATCAGAGGAGGAGCTTATAGCAGCAGCATGTGAGCTGATGGAGGATAGAGACCCGGATACGACATTCGCGAATGTGATGCAGATTGGTTTCCAAGCCACTGCTACCGCTGAAGAGAGTATCAAGACATCTCCGACTACGGTAATATTTCTCTTACCAATAGCCTCTAGTATGGGATTGCTGGATATTAGTTTCTTTTTGTATGGATACTATCCTGGGCTGCCAGGATATTGTTTTCGTATTGAGTGGATACTATCTTGGGCGTTTATGATAATGGTTTCTTTTGTTATGGATACTAGCTTGGGCTTGTTGGATATTTGTTTCTATATGAGTAGATACTGGCCATGTTTTGCAGACACCTGTCGAGTCAACTGCTGCTGCTCAGGAGGATAGCGACGATGATATTATCATCTCTGAGTGCATTAAGAGTGCGGAGGAGGCAGAGTATTTGTACTCTATCACACCGGAAGCCTGGAAAGCAACCCTAAAAACTCCAGAGTTTGATAGGTCAAAACACCACCCCTTCGGCGAATCAATGTACGTTCTGCCAAAGACTATGTCGACGTTACAGCTATGCAAGTGGTTGACTTCATATTCAGTACTACTGCTCCAGCAGAGTAAGTTGATTGAGGAGTTATTTAATCA